TGAGCTCACCGCGGTCCACATAAAAATAAAAATAAAACAATAACTAAAAAAACATAATGCATGAACACAATTTGTACACATGGGCTAGCTCGGGCGAACAGGGTTCCAAATCCTGTCATACAACAAATAGAGAGGTCAAAGCAAACCCAAGGAAAAAACATATCAAAACTACCACAGCAAGTGGGAGCATGCTTCAAGCTCCCCAAGTTGGTAGAATACATTGCGGTGGGCACCGTGAAAGTGGTCGCGGAGAGCAGCAGCACTTGTGTTGCACGAAGCCTCGAGTCGGCGGGGCCACGAGACGAGTGGTCGGGTTCCTTTGACGCTTGCCTTGTCACGAGTCACAGCACCCAAGTCATTAAAAAAGATCCAAGCACGAGCAGCAGGTAGTAATAGGCATCCACCTTCAAAGCATCAAACAGCTTCCTCACATCCCCTGCGTCGCGCAGCCGCACCGCCAAAAGCCTGTCCAGTTCGGCCTCGTGTGTCGCGAAGCGTCTATAATAAACTCTGATGGACAGTCTGCCTGGTGCCCTCAGGATCACTGGCTTCTACACGTTAACCTAAGAAATGTGGATCTCTACAATCTGCACCAGTGGGAGGTCTATGTTTGGTCTTAGGTCACCTTTGCGTACCTCATCATGTCATTCCAGTGCGACCCACCGAGCTGATTTTGGGTCCCGCCTGCACATTGGCCAGCATGGTGGTAAACTGGCAGCGCGCGAACCAGCTGCCCCTCCAGGGGTCTTTGTCCTTGCAAAATGGACCACTTCACCAAGTCACCCGATCCAACATCCTCAGGTACTAGTAAATATAATCAATAAGGTACTAGTACCACTTATATAATAGTGGGTGGAGCAGTACCACTTTATATAATATACTGTCTGCTCCACCCACTCAAAGGATCCCCTGGGCGACCCAAGACCGATCAGCGGGTCTGTGCGGCTCGGCTCCGTCGCCGGAACCGCTCAGCCCGTGAGGCCAGTGGGGGGCTGACCAAAAGGGTGCGCGCTCACACGACCGGTCAGAACATGCGACCGGTATAGGGATGCTGTGTGATCCGAGCGTTCCCACATGACTCCACAAATGCGCGCATGTGAAACACATGGATGAAGGAATGTACATAACCTGCTTAATCACAAACATGCGAGACTTGGGTCGAAATGCATCACCCTTAGACAGAACGAATCCACCAAGAACATGTTGTGAGGTCGTTATCCCATGCTGTTTTACAAGGCTGCAGGCTCCACTTTTGCACACGCTTGGAGTTCCTAGGCTGTGCCAAAGATCATAGATCATCTCCCGGCAGAAGTCGCGATATGCTTGGACCTTGCGGGATGTCCAAAGCCACTCGTGTCAACAAGCACCCACTCGACAGACCCGAACATGGTCGAAACCTGAGACACTGATCAAATACTGGCCGCGTGGCCGATGTCGTGTCATCCGATGTGTTGCCTTTTTTTTTTGGTGTGGACAGGGGTGAAGCCTGTGGATGTCAGTTTGAGGTGTTGTTTTATTGTAAAATGGGAGAAACGTGGGGTAGCCCACCATGTACCGCGCCGCAAGGTATTGGATGGCCTCCTTCGCGGCAATCTCGCGATCCATGGCGTGTTCCCGGAGCCAAGTCTTCAGGAGCTCGCAGACCAGGGTTTTGGGGTTGGTGGCATCTTTACCTCGGTCTCCGGGCAGGGAATGGGCTCCCTGTGAAGGAAGACCTGGATGATGGTACGTAGAGACCTGGAGTTAGGGAGACCTGGAGTTGGAGTTAAGACATTGACCAACTCTGTGGGACAAGTGGAAAAGCGGACAAGCAACCTGTTCTCGCACTGGCATCATTGATAGGTTTTGGCCATGGCTGCTGTGCTTTCTCATGGCTATACTCATGGCTCCGAAGCACCAAGCACCAAGTACTCTGAGTCGGAAAAAAACCTCTACCATCACCTCAAAAGTTTAAACGGATGTTTCAATCGCTCTTTCTGCAAGCAAATCGTATTCAAGTTCCATTGTTTGAGGCAGGAGTTCATGGTTCACCACCAAGTTGTGCAACATTGAACCCCAAAAACATCCACACTCACTGGCTTGTTGATCAATTTGATTGCCAGGTGTCTGGCAACACACTCACTATCTTTCACTGATTTAGCCTCCCGAATGTTTAGACCAGAAAGGTGCAGCCCTCAACCCCTCAAAGCAATGCATTCCTTCACCCGCACCAAGGCAGCATGCCACAGCTGTCCTAATGTTTTGGGTGAGCATCATGATGATTAAAAAACTGAACACATCCTGAAACGGTTCCCATTCTCCCGCGAGTGAACTACCCGCGGAATCCTGTGAGTTCACGGAAAGGGGCGTCGGCGTGTTTGGTAGTCCACGATGGCCTCGTGCGCCGCTTGGACCTGTAAGACAGGTGTGGGGCACTGCAAGGGCTCCAGATTGGGTGCCACGCAGCCAGAGCCTCGGGTGCCACACAGCCGGAACTGCTGTGGCTAGCCAGGAGGGGGGTCTGGATGGTGCTGGTATGTGCTGGTGGTGTAGGTTGAATGATTTGGTTGGTGGGAAATATCTCAATCTTCAACGATGAACCCTTCAACATCTTTTTAGGCTATAGCTAATCCATTTTGGGAGGAGCCACCAGTTTCACTACCAGTTTCCTACACTGACTAGTCCAGTTAGTCCAACTCGCAATCATAGAAAGGAAAAGAAAGGAACGTCAGGAGTACTCGGTCCTGGCCTAAAAGAAACTCCCACAATCTCCAACATCAAGCACCCTGAACCAAAACCACTAGCGGAGCCTGAAGACCAACATAGGAATTGAGTACATACGGGTCACTTGACCTACCTTGTCAAAAGCTCTCCTGCAAGGCTAGCACCTCTCTCTGGAACCCCTCCACCCGTCGTGTCGCTGAAAACGGCTGCGAGCAGCTGATGCTGGGCAGTGGCAAGCTGCGTCTCCCCAGCGTGCGGTTCAAGGCTTGCTCCACCGCGCGGCAGCGCCTTTGGCTCTTCTCGTCACCTCAAAAGGCCGTGTTTGGCAGGTGTGGTGCCTCGTCTGGGATCATAATATTGTGGGCACACAGCAGTTGGTGGTTGGGCCAGGGAAGTTGTTCTATATTTTAACACGTGCAACGCACTTGGGCAGCATCACTGCAAAGTGCATGGACAGTGACAGGATGGTGACCATGCATGAAAGGTCATAGTGAAAGGTCAGGGTATATGGTATGGCAATGGGAACAAGCAAGTGCAGTGATCCAAGAAGCATCAGAGTCGCATTGCATTAGAATGGTGGGTGAGGCCGAACATCGGCCACACATCTAAACACACAATGACAAACATATATTAACCGAAGCTCATTGGTTGGGTGGGGGTGTCACTGTTATTGAATGCAACAAATATCTATATGACATAGATATTTGACGGTCAATGGGTGGCTGTATCGATCGACGTCCTCAGTCGCTGTGTTGGAGCAAAGCTGAGGTTTCCAGGAAACTCCTTCCCAAGGAAACTCCTTCCCAACATGCAAGAACCTGTTCTCATGCTCAGGTACCCACCTGGTGCTAAACATGTTCAGCAGAATTGAAGGACTGTCAAGGGTACCACTTGCATAGCGGCATAGCAAGACGATGCGCTTGGTGCTGCTATCTGGCCGCATGGAAGCCGCCTCCATGTAGCCTGCAGAACTCTTCACCTTTATGGGATGTTTGAACGCACTGGCCCAAGCAACTCCTAAAAAGCAAGTCCTGGAGACTCCTGCCGTGAATTCGAACGCAGCAGCCGCAATTTCACAGGCTATGCTGCGCCGCTACTCATCACTCCTGCTCCAAACAGCCCATCCAAAAGGCATTGGATGATAACACTAGTCATATATGCCTCCACCGTCAACTGCGTCCCGCCAACCCCATCTGTCCCGGCCGCTATAGCTCTCGGCCACGCCCCTCAGGTAGACATAGCCGCCCACAGCCGCCGCCCCGGCGGCCGCCCCTCCCATGCCAGCCAAGCCATGGCTGAGGGCCATGTTCCAGCCAGCGGAGGGCACGCAGCGGGCGGACGACAGATTTCACGCCAAAGAGATAGGAACATGGTTATGACATGGCCTTCTTAGTCCTACACTTTCCAATAGTATGGGCGGTGTCGTCTTCACTCTTTGGTAACTCGGGACAGCAAGCTGAGGCCAGTTACGTCCCACGCCTTTCGCTGTGACGATGGGTGCCGCCGGTTCGCCAGTCCGGGGAACCAAGCACCGTATACTTGAGCCATTCTGAAGCGATAACGTTCGCCTCCCATCTCCCATCGCCCTGGCGTCCCAGGCGATCCAAAGGTACACACCGAGTCTTTGACCTATGAATTTATATTTGACAACATGTCTGATTATGCCACATGTGCCCTTTTTTGCGGCCATCCCGCAAAAGAATGATCTTTATATTTTCTCCAAAGGATACACATCCCATTGACACGTGAAGGATCGGATCACCAAGTTTATGTAGCAACTCAGGGACATAGAGTTATGTTGGGCGATGGCAGCCATACATGGCCAACCATCAAATAATTTTTTTTGTGAAAAAAAAGTGAAAAAAAAGCAAAATAAAAGCAAATGAAAATGCAAAAACAAAGCAAAAACAAAGCAAAAAGCAAAAACAAAGCAAAACAAAAAGCGAAAATAAAGCGAAAAAAGTGAAAAAAAAGCGACAAATATGTTTTTGCTGTACCCTCCTAGGAAAAAAGCGAAAAAAAGCGAAAAAAAAAAGCGAAAATAAAGCGAAAAAAATGCGAAAATAAAGCGAAAAAAAAGCGAAAAAAAAAGCGACAAATACGCACAGCTACATTTTTTTGCTTTTTTGTTTGCTTTGCCTTTTGCTTTTTTTTGCTTTGTTTTTGCTTTATAAAACTATTTTGGCTCCTTGTATCTATGGCTGGCGTGCCCGACATAAACATAGAGACATCGCATGATCACAGGAAATCACATGTCCACCTCCCTCATCCCAAATAGCCCAGCCATGCCCCACTGCCTCTACCAGCACCGTTCCAGCTTGCGCCACCGGCGCTGCTGGCGTTGCCGCAGGCGCTGCCGCAGGTGCTGCCGCAGGCGATGGCTCCTGGCCCATGGGGTGGAGAGGTTGCGGCAATGGGGTACAAAACACTCTGCTGAATGCTTCTAATTAGGTGGCTGAGGTTGTGCAGGCCAATTGTAATCCAACAACCTCGTTGGTTTTCAGGTGCTGGAAGAGTGCAATAGAAAAGTAAAACACTTATCAGAATCACATATCTCTTTTTGCTCTTCTTCCCCATCAGCACAGGCCGCTTCGCGTGTGCCGAAAAAGTCCAGAGCGCGGTGCCCTGTAAAGGAGATGGCCGCACCGGTGGCCGATGCGACCAGGGAGACACTGGCAGATGAGGCGGCGTTCAGCGCCACCCCAGCTGCCCCCTGGACCAAATTCAAAGCACCGGCTGAGGCGTAGCCCACGGCCGTTGAGGTGGCCGCCACCAAGGAGTCGGGAGCCGCCGTGGCTCCCAGCAGGGCGCGGGTGCTGTGCCTGGCCGCCATAGACACCAGTGAGGTTCCAACGCCACCCAGTACTGAACAGGTGGAGGACATGGCACTAACTCCTGCAGTCAGTGTGCCCCCCACCACAGCACTGCCCAAGGCTGCAGCAGAGGATACTGCAAGTGAGGGCACTTGGGAGGCACCTGTGCAGGTACTACCTAAAGCATGGCTATCTTGAGGAAGATCCGGGTCGGATAGCCGTGCCTCAAAGGCAGCTACAGCATCTTCGCTCAAACCACTCTCTGAAAGCTGCTGCCGCACCGCCCGTTGAAGGACCTGCACATCTTCATGCTCACGTCCAAGCCAGGGCTTTTCGATCTCCAGGACCCGGATCCTCAAGAAACGAGTGGGAAGGAGAAAGCACCATGAAGGACCACTCCATGGGACTGGAATAGGAAGCCGCCCCATTGACTCCAAACCACCACCCCAATGGGGTCGTAAATATGCCAGTCCCATGGGGCGTCTGGGCCACATTTAGACTGACACTTGAATCCCTGTAGACTGACATTCTCGACTCCAAAGACCCGAGGAAGGGGCTTCACTTAAGAGACTCAAAGAAACAAACAAAAACTACGTTGTCGCAATCGCAGGGGTCCAGAGTGGTATTGCTTGAGATGGTCGTCCTTCAGCAGCGAGCAACGCAGCGAGTCGCCGCAGGCTCCGAGCCACGCGCAGGTGATTTGGACCAAACTGCTCTTCAGCCTCCTGTAACTCGGCGAGGCATTGGGGAATCTCCTGGCCAACGAACCTTGAATTGCTTTCAAACAAGCAAGGCCAAAATAGCAAGAAGCTGAAGATTATGTTTACTCATGCTTACAACAGAAACAGGCTGCCTACTAGCCGGACTTCTTCAAACCACAAAGACTACCTTTCTGAAGTTCTGCTTGATTGACAAAAGAACGCTGCCATGAATCTATATAAAAGGAATTCCCTATTGCATGTGTTTTTTGTGTTTCGATGTGTTTCCAGTGCATGGGATATCTTGAGGAAGCCTAGGAGTTTGTCCAGCAACATTATGAGATTCCTTACCAGGTGGTTCTCCCGGTGGCAAACATACAAACATCGATGAGCTATATAATTCCAGGAAACACCCCTTTCATGCTCTCATCTGCGGCCTGGACTGCAACTTCGTCTGCAGCTTCATCTGTGGCTTCATCTGGAGCTTCTTGAACATTTGCCTCTCCCATGCTGGAATCTTCTGGGAAAGCTTCTGCCAATGCCAGCTTCTCCTCCTTTTTCTCTACCGCCTCCTTGGCCACAGCATTGTCGGCATCACACATAGCTGGGCCATCCGTCATGCGCTTGCGCACACTGCGCGAAGGGGGCTCTGTACAAGGCGCCCCCCGGGCTGAGCTGCGCCCCGCGTTTGCGCCAACCTTCTTTGAGCATGACAATGGTTATTGCGGGTTTGCATGTTGGGACATGCTTGCACAAATTGTCGTTCAATATGCAAGACAATCGTTATCATTGATTAGCGCCCCTCCTTGGTTCGAGACTGCTTCTGGAGCTTCTCAGGTGTTCTCCATTCAAAGCGCTTCAAATGGAGTTGGAGTACCTGCGCGTTGGTCAACCTCGTTTTGATGCAGCATTTGTGCATGTTAAAGAGCAACGACACAAAGCATGAGCACGTTGACTTAGGGTACTGTACTCTTTTTGGAACAAATTTGTGTGGGCTAAGGGGTCCCATACATTTATGGAACATTGATTGAATCCAAGCTGAAGCTGTTTCTCTGAATCTATAGACTCTGGATGTCTCTCTCAAAATGGCTCAAGCTCGTGCCTGGGGTAAGCGCTGCAAGCGCAATTGTCGAGTGGTCCCAGTGCCGTCTTGGCATTTGGAACAGCTCCAGCCCTGAACGCTGGAGCAACTGGAGATCTGTGTGGAGATTCTCACCTGCTGAATGTATTTTTTCTTGATGACCCACAGTATACACCATTGTAAATCAATGTGCATAATGTATGCACATATAGAGTTATATATCTATATAGTTAATGTTAGGCTATCAGCTATCTATTTTATATATAATACACCATGAACGAAAATGCCCAGAACTCAAGGTCTGAATTCTCGGAAACACATTCATAAGACCATGTTGGCGAGTCCTCCGAGGACTCAGGGATACTGAACCGCAGGCGAGTCGTCCGTTCGCCCGCCTGGACTCGCCGCACGAAGGTGGACCGCTTGTCCCTCAAGGTCTTTGGATGGTCGCCCCAATCCAATCACTTACCCTCCCTGAAAAGAATCCTGGAAGTGGATGGCATGGCCATGCATGACCCCTGGAAAGACCATGCAATCCTCTGCCAAAGAGGGGGGCTCCACTTCCCTGTTTGTTGCGGGGAGTGTAATTTGTACTTCAACTCCACCAAAATCACTATATAAACACTAAGATGAGATCAATGACTCTTTGCAATCCACTCCACTCCTCCCAACCCCTTCTGAGACTCATGTTCGCTCCGAACACCTTGGTTCTATCACCACCCAGCTCGAGTCTCCGGCTCCGTCAGCAACCCTCGGCCTCCAGGGCTTCGGGGGAACAAAAGGCTTCGAGGAGGTCGAAGAGCTTGGCCTCACAGGGTCGAAATGGGGTCCCGAGTCCCTCCAGGTTCCCTCGCTTCCAGGTTCCCTCCCAGCGTCTGCCAAAACGTGTGAAAAGAACGAAATGAATGGTCAAGGCATGTCAAGGCAAAGATTGCCCACTTCCACATGGCCGTGCCCATGACAACTGGATGAAAAGAATCATAAAAGAAACAACATGATGTCAGTCGCCATTCGAGGGCCGATGCCTCCCTATGGCTCAAACACACTGCCGAGGATTGCACATGATGGCCTAGAGGGATCAACAGCTTTGAGCCACGTTTGATGTGCCATGAATGAAGCGCTTAGGGTCCAGGTCCAAGACTTGGTGAGCAAACAGTGCTGCTAGAGAATCACTACCAGGCCTTAACCTAAATAACCTCTAAGATGCTCCAGGTGCGGATATGAATAGACTCTGGCGGCCGTTTGCCACACAAAAAAACCCGGCGGCGCCTCCGTCTTCGGCAAAGGAAGTGGGAGTGACCAAAAGGGGTCTTCAGACACTTCTCGGGCACCACCTCAGCGCGGAAACAGCGCGCCGCGCTTGCGGCTGTGAAAACCACTACCAGTCTGTGCGAAGACCCGCGCCGGGGTCTTCGACCTGGTGAGGAATCGAGGACACCGCTGGTCAACGCGGACTGGCGCTGGTCATTCGACCAACCACTTTCGTCGTCTGGAGATGAGTTCCAAACATCTGCTGACTCCACGTGAGCTGGCAGCAGGTAAGCCTTGCGCTGTGACCCCCTGCCTGGCTTAGGCACTCTTCCAACTGCTTCCCTTTCAATCTCGTGGCCGGACATCTGTGAGAAACTCCGCACTGGTCTGACCGGAATCGCAAGACACCCGGACGCATCACATCGACACCCACATTTTGCTGATTTGGGCGTTGCACGCAACAGTTTGATAGTTTCATCAAAAATGAGGCACAAGAATCTCCGGGAGGGGTTTATCAACAAGTTCTACCAGCATTGAGCAGGCTTGCAAGCTCTGCGTTCCAGCTATTACGTCCACACCTTTAGACACTTGGCTGCAGCCGCACTGGAAGCACATCCACCTTGAATCTTTTAGCGTGTTTTTTCACCTGGAAGCATGCGGTGGGGGCTACAGGCCTGCCATCCTGTCACGGACTTGGCCAGCGGGCCAGCCAGGAACAAGCGCCCAGAGCAACTAGGAAGCGCCTAAGCGCCTTATCGAACCTGGGCCTGGTCTAATTGAAGTGGGATCGTTTCATCTTTCGCATCATCTTGGGGGCGCTTCACGATCTGGTGCTACGAAACGAGCCGGGGCCTTCTCACCTTGCAGAGCCAGCATCAGTCGGTCGGGGCTGCCGCCGTCCGTCGGTGCAGGACTCTGTCATGAGTCACGCGCAAAAGGAGTGATTCAAACTTTGACCTTCCCTGCACCTAGTAGGTGGCTGATTCTTTTTGCCCTTAGGCTTGCAACAAACGCTTTTCATTTGATCAATCATCTTTACCAGCCCGCAGTGATCTGCTCAGGATGTAGATCAGGCTCTGAATCAATCCCCGGTTGGTGGAAGAACGGATTGTCAGTGCATGCACGTTTAAAAAAACAAAAAAAACATTCAATTTAGCAGATTTTCCTCAGTGCGGCATATGCCTTTGTCTTCCCTAGTTTGGTTCTAAATTATCCTAAATTCAGAGCTGGAGTCCAAAAACACAAACTAGGCTTGGAGTTGGAGGAATTCGTGCCGGGCTGCAGGGGCAGCAAACTTCGGAGCGCAGTTGGCCGTCGAAAAGCTCCGTCACGACAGATGGACCTGTGCATGACTGGTGCCATGATGAATGAAGCCAACGCGAAGTGGAGGAACAAGTCTATGCCTGACTCCTAAGCCGTTTCCCTGGATAAGAAAGGTTCACCTTTTCGACCTGTTCTTGTTGAGTTCGGAAACCACTTTTCCCAAAAAGGCTGTATCATGCTGTATCCGCTTTTCCTTGGTATGATGCCCAAGTCTACCCGGTCCTAAGTGGAGGCCTACTGGATCGGAGCCTAGGCACCCTATCGCTGAGAACCTCCACAGCCTCACAATGGCAAAGGAGTCCCATTCATTTCAACGAGTTAGTGAGTGGTTTCAACTCGAAAATATTGGGGTTCAATGCCAATTTAAAAGTTGACCAAAAGGTCTCTGAAACCACCCAGTCAAAGTCATCGTCGTGGCACCACTGTGACCGATGTTTCCAATAGCGTTTCGGTGCCCTTTGGGCGCCGTTCCGCGAGCAACGTTGTATTGGAGATTGTTGCTCGAAAAGGGGTGCCCCAGGGCCCCAGCATTCTTCCCCTTCTGAAGCCTCAAAGTGGACTGTGACATGAAAAAGCACCCAAGGCTGCATACATCTGATCCACAGGTCGCATACCATTTTGCAGTGCATTTGGGAGCAACAACGGTATAGTACGGGAGTGCACCGGCAGTGCACGGCTAGCCTCCCACACAGGCTACTGTCAGCTCAGTAATCAATTCCATAACAAGGCCATGGCACCAAACAATTGTACATATAAAATATATGTTTATCATCCGGAGCTTCATTGCATGTTGGACAGACAAGTGCCAAGTGCCTTCTGATAGTTGCATGATGCCAAAGGTACGTATGCAATTGCCTTCTGTTTGGGATTTGCATGCTTGAAAACATAAATCGTAGCCGCGAGTCGGGTAGTCCACACTAAATACATCTATATACAATACAAATCCTTCTCAACGTGGATGGTGGGTGGGCGACAGCGGGCTAAAACGGCCTCTGGAAATTGGAATGCCACACAAGCTTAGCGTTTGTTTAATGAGTTCCCGCATGCTCCCCCGCACCCCTATTACCAAATACCAAACCACACACCCAATTTGGACCCAATCTCTTCGCATCTCTCTCACTAAGCCAGAAACGACGCTTTTGGCAGCCTTCAGCACCTTCCGCTGTTGGTTTCGACAACTCCTGGTGCAAGGCTTCCAGCAGCGTCTGCAGGAACCTCAGCGCAGGGCATTGACCGAGCTTCATGGATCTGTTGTTTTGCTTATAATATATTTGTCGACTGAAACATGAACCTTTCAGAAATGCTTCTGCATCTCCACATCTGAGAACTTGCCGTGGGTGTTGACGTTCTTTCGACCCTTCTAGGAACAACAAATTGCTTTCTCAGGAACTCCTGTGCATCTTGCTGCCCACTCCCTGCGAAGATCTTGTTGTGCGTAGCCACACACGCCTCCAAAATGAAAGCTCTTCACAGCAACCCGGCTGGTTGGATCATCCAGAAACTGCCGGAAATTGGCTTATTGAAGCAGTTGACGGACTAAAAGATTTCCAGAACAGGAGCAATATATTTACTGTATATGTGGGGGATAAGGACTATGTTGCAAAGCGGTTCGATCCTTTGACTCAAACTTCAAGCACCCCAAACAATCCTGGACCGGAGCAGTTGCTTGCCCAGCTTCAGCAACATCCGCCCAAATACGCGACTTGTGCGGCCGGCCCTGTATTTCAAAGGTGGGCTCCTTAATACTCCTTTAAAGCAAAGATAAAGCATATGGTCGAAAAGGAGTTGGAACCCTGAAACAATAGCTAACAACTAAGCTAACACTATTTAGCAAAGAAACAAATTGACAAAGTACAAGAACGATAAGAAACACATAGAAACACAAAAGCCTCCCCATGCCTTGAGGTGCGCTGGCGCAACAACTTCCTCTTCTTCCAACAGCTGCAAGGTCTCCACAAATGCCCTGGACAATCGAGTGATAAATACCCTGAAGCGTTCCACGTCAGAAGAATGCATTGGATGCTCCCAACTCCAAAAGTTTTGATGAGCAGCTTTTAGTCATTACTGGTTCTAGATCAGTACCTGCTGCAGGTCCTAAGCCAAATATCAAATCTCCAGGCAGGATGAACCAAGGCCATTCTTCAAGCAAAGCCTAGCCCTCCGCACCCTGAAAAAGCCTTTGGCCTACAGGTGGAGCCACCCTCGGAGCACTGGGAGATGTTCCGGCGCAGCAGCGGGGTCTGCGAAAGGCACTGGAGAGCACTGTTGAGGTAGCCTCAGCTGAGAGGCTTTAAGTGGCCCCATGGCAGCCCTGAAGACAAGGTTGGCGTCACTACTTTGGTTCTTTCATTCTAGATGCTCCATGGTGGCATTGGGACTGTTCTTCAATGGCCTTGCTTTCTTCATTCTTTCATACACACATATACATCTATATGAAGGGATGTTTGCAGTTGAACAGTTACTTAGCTCATTTCGGGGTAGACTTTGTGGACAAAAAGGCGTTGCCTTATCCGAGCTGCAATTGGCCAGCAATGAGCCAATGGAAGCACTGAGCATGTTGGGATCCAAAGTCTAGAGTCTGGAGTCTGAACACTTTCACGGCGCTGTGGGCTTGTGAGCAGGTCAAAGTATGTCAAACTTCCAGCTCGCACTGTGTAGGGGAGGGGCTTCGCGGCTGCCCCCTGCCCTGCCAACCGAGTCACAGGTGTTCCCCAGGTTGCGTAAGCCATTCAACGCAAGGTTCTCCTCACGATGTTTGCAAGGAATCGCAAGGCAACTGTTCAGCTGTTGAAAACATTTGGCCTCCATTTAAGCTTGAGCTGACGGCTCGTTTCTTCACGTAGACTCGACGTAGACCTTTCGATACCTTTCCCACAACGAACAATTTGTGTTTTTGTCAACATGGCCTTGCTCCATGTACATGAGAACACTTTAGGCCAACAACAGAGACTAGTAGGTGCTTGACCAATAAACCAACAAATGCCCCCAACCCCCTACTATTACTATTAACCGTTGTTGGTCAAACTCAACCCCATCCTTCCGTGGCTTCTTGGGCTTCGTCCGCGGCTCCGAAGGCTGCCCGACGGTGGAGACAACGGCGTGTGGAGTGAACTCCACGAGGAGCACCTGAATGAGTCAAGTAGGGCATACCATGAACCTACAAGTGAGGGTACTAACACTGAACCATTGCGGGGATGACGTGGACTTAGGAGAAAAGAGTGCTTATCTCTTTATCCGGTACAGCCACATGTTGGCCTTCGTGATGGTCGGGGAGCCCTTTTGTATCCTTTTGTTGGAAGATTTCGTGCCTCTCAAGATGGTGTGAATCAGTGTGCCACCCCATAAATGAGTCCCAAGAGTTGCTTGAGAGGGGACAATATCTCAAACATTCCATACGACCCGAACGTGGCCCGAACATTATATATAATATACAACTATATAATATGATATTATACTATATATTGATAATTCGTGATATGTCTTAAAACCTAGTTCAAATAACAATTCTAGACATTCTAGCTACATTGACCCCTAAACCCTGAACCCCCCCTAACTGATTTGGGCCAATCCCATGGGTCTGACGCTCGCGGACCGGGTGACCGATCCAGGTGCTGCCAGCTGCCAGAGTGGCGAATCCCCAGCCTCGGCTCGTCTCCGGTGGAAACCGAAGCATGCAACACGATGCACCGTTCGTATGTTTTGTTGCAGGTATTTGGGTCAGTCTTAGAGTACTTCTTAGAGTCTATTGACACCTCACTCCACTTCACCTCAAATCTTCTCAATCACATCCGGATTTGAAAGGATGCCGGCAGCAATGGGGGCACGGTCATCGACTGAGAACGCTGCTAACAGCTAACCAACATGAATGCAAGATTATCTGGCTTCCATGAAAATGCCGTTAGATAATTTAAGAGCAAAATTCACACATTGGAGCTTCCGACCAGCTTCCATTTCCAATATGCTGGTTTGGAGGAGCTTCCAATTCCAGTAAACATGTGTGTGTGTCTGGAAACTCCTCACCCGGCCCTCTTCCACTCAAAAAGTTGTGTAGAGCACTGTAGTCTTGTGGCCCAGGTGTTTTTGGTTGAAACAGCGACCACTTGGCCTCTTGGAAGGACGGCAGCTTCAGCACCGGTAGTGCAGAGCTGGGCGCGTTGCGCAGCAGCAGCGTGATGCCGTCCGGAGGCGCACCCACTAAAGAGGCCAACTGGAGATGTCAGGATCAGCAAGGATCAAAGATCACCAAACACATGATGTAGACTGGTTGGTAAACAAAAGCTGATTGAGATGCTAAACTTGCTAAACCACTGAACCACTCTGGTTTTATTAAACCGCGCCAAACCGCCCGGGCACGGCACCTGGACATAAGCATCGGCCAACGAGATGCCCTTCTCCAGCTCCTGGGGCGCACTTGGCTGTGGCAGGGCCGAGCAGGGCTCATCCACCAAGGGCCAAGAAGTGGAGGAATTGACCAACATGTATGGTCAGTGAAACTTACATTTTTAATCCAGCCCATCTGAGGGCTCACCAATAATGGTTTACCCTTCACTAGGTACTATATTCTATGTTATGTATGTCTGTCTGTCTGTCTGTCTGTATGTATGTATGTATGTACAGACATATATATGTGTGTGACTGTGTGTGCGTATATGTGCGGTGTTTAGGTCTATAGGTATAATACATTGGCTCTTCTAGACTCATTCTAGACTTTGTGGAGGCAGCAAAGGTGTGAAGCTATACGCTTGCTTCCAGCAAAATCGGAGCTTCGACTGGCGCTCTGCTTGTTTCGCCACCGTCTCCAGGACTTGAGGCTCACCATCTGCAGGCACCACTCGGTATCGATCCATGTCTCAAACTCCCATGGCGGGCGAACAGGATATTTCTGCCGTGTTTGCCGGACTCCGGAGTGTTGCCCGGACACCACACTGGCTGTGGAAACAATATGAAACAATCGGTTAAACGCTTAAGGACCGTTTTCTTCTATAGCAAAGTACATGATGGCTAGAGTTGATGTAAATTAGTGGAAAGCTTGCACTCTACCGCTCAGCAGTGGGTGGACGTTGAAAATATAAGTCCTTTCAATCAAAACATGAAGCACGTTGTAAGGAGAGCGGTGCTATATAATATATTGTGTTGCACAAAATGTGCGACCAATGCGTTGACATGACATGCGTTGATATCGTTGTTCCTTGCAGCAAGGAGGGGGTCCAACCAAAAACACTGTATCACAGCTTGGTAAGCAGGGAGGCCACGCTTTGCAGGGATACACCCTTCGGAAATTGCCTTCTGTCGACGGATGTCCATGAGTCTATGAGCCAAATCTGCCACTGCACCCTCAAAGGTATGGACTGCACCGACTGCGAACCGGACCTGTGAGCAGGGCTACTCCTTGGACCGCTAGTGAAGGTATGGGCGCTGGATGGTCTTGGGGATTCATTTCCACTGTCGTCTGTCGATCGGCGATGTGTCGGGAGCTAGGTGTCAGGCACATTGGATGTAGTGCCTGAGAAGGACGATGTCAGACATGTGGAACAAGTGAGGGCTTGTAATCCATCCATTGACAGGTTCATGGATGTGCCCCACCCAGACGCGCGGTTTTGGACCCGAACCTATGGAGGGATCGGACCCCTCTTAGGATCAAGGGGTCTGGGGTTTCTCACCAATCCCTCCGTTCTGAGGGACTGGTGGGGCTGTGAACGGTGTCAATCCGTGAGCATGTTTATGTGTCCAACCCTGGTTGCACCATTGTATCAAGAGTTAGTAGCACAAATCGCGCTGCGCACTTCAGTTCCACAAACACACGTGCACACGTTTCTGCCGTTTCTCCCTGCATCGAATCCACACATATTTTGGACATGTTGAAAGCACCTCGAACACCTGTTTCTTCTACGCTTCTCTCGACGAAAGCGCACGAATACCTGGCGCATATGACACTTTGCACACCTGGCGCCATGGGCTTTGGCTGGCTCGTTTGGCCAAGCCACGGCAAGTACATGGAGAGCCTGCCACATTCCGGACACGTCCGCGTGCTTGTATTCACGGAATTGCACCTGGCAGTCTAGTGAAAAGAGACGTGCGTTCTGGTCATCATCCTTTTTCACAAAGCTTCTTCATGCATGTTCCTTTCATCCCGTCTCAGAAGCGTTCATTATTTAGATACTCAAGGATCTCTATGGCTGTAATTGTGATACTCTTGTAATTTATGACCCCCAATGTGCCCACATGAGCACATCCATGACCGAGTTTGCATTCACTCCATGGAAGCGCCCCAAAATACGGGTAAGTAGTGGAAGATATCATCCACCAAGCTATACAGACCCCAACGTAACTGAATGCTTGTTGTTCCGTGAAGCCACGGCTATACCATGGCAGCTAGCAGGTACAGGTACACCAAAAAGCGCTTGGACGTTCAGTAGCTTCCATGGTCGCTCTTAAACTCCTTCGTGGGTGGTTTGTCTGCAGCTGACGATCGATGCAAACCAGCCAGAACAAGGTAACCTGGTCGTGGTTAAGGTCACCATGTCGTGGTGGAATGCCAGTCTCGTGCAGTTTCAGCGCTTTGAAGCTGGTTTCACCGGCACCGTTTGCCTCCCCGCCCCTCTCAGGTGAGACCACCCGACCTGTGAGGCTCCAAATCCATGGCGCTGGCGCAGCGCTCCCAAGCGTCTCCCGCGCGCGAGGGGTCGCTGGGGCCTGGGGCATGAAGCAGGTGGGGGGAGAAGTCATGCGACGTCAAGCCTAGGAACTCCAACCCAGTTCAGATACTTCATCATGGTGCAATGACTAGCAGCAAACGAGTATACATGTTCCATCATGTTCCCATCGTGGCTTCGGGCGATTGATTGAGACAGCGCCCTGGTTGGTGAAGCTTCCTGAAACCCGCACGTTCGTGCGGGTGATGAACGGAACGAGCCCCGGACTCCGCTGGACCGGCGCACCCCAAACACGTCCACATGACTCAGCCGCCCCAGCTCCGGTCTGCGGCGAGACGCTGAATCCCACCACGCTGAAGCTGAAGTGGGTGACAAAGGCGCTACAGTCTGTGGCGTGGTAGGACCTGGGGGGGGTTCCATGGTTTTGATGTGGCAGAATCCAACCTCCCCCATAAAGCAATGGGGTTTCGATGGTTTCGGTTGGCTTTTATTCATTGGGACCCGGGGTCCACCAGGATTGCTTGGCCATGGTTTTATGATCCACAGCCATGTTCATTTTCCCATCTTCGAGGCTTAAGAATGGGGTGACAAATTGACATGTGCCACATGAGCCCCATGCACGGCTCCGACTCACTTGTTGTAGCTGTTTGCAGCTGCTTCAAAAGGATGGTCCCGGAGCCAGCGACGATTCTTGTGCCCTGCTCGCCAACTAAAAACATACAAAACATGTTGCGAGCAGCAAGTTCCCTCTCAAGTCTGCAGGTTCATCCTGCAAGTGTGTTCATGTACCTGTCCTCTTGGATTGGGCGCATCAGGCTGGGAGGGGATCTACACCCTGTGCATCTTCTTAGCGAACATCCTCCACCAACCACCCTATCCTCGCCGGAGAGCTCCCCGCAACAGCTCTCGAAGGTAAACTGCTGGCCATCCCAGCCTGGCGGCTTCGGAAGCCGTTCCGGCCTTTCGGTCGGTCACCCGCACAATTGCGCTGTCCAGTGGAGTGGAGACTGTATGACACTGGTGGCTCAAACCAATGACCAAGCGACCTAAATCCTTCGGTCTTTCCAAGATTGGAAGCGTTGAGCAGCTCGGGGCGGGCTGGTCAGACAAGACCTTTGGACGCATTTGGACCTTGACCAGGAACTGTAGCCAAGTTGCAGTGGGAGTTGCCCCCTCGGCCGAAAATGGCGTTGCAGCACCTCCGCAACCACCGCAACATCAAGAGCAGCCACATCCCAGCCCAATGCTCCCACACAAAAAAAACACAAGGATCCACTCATCTCCACTCAATGGGCAGGCGTCATGGAGAGTTGAGGGAAGAATATGAAGATGGGCCCATGCCAACGCTACAGGAATATATACTGTAGGAATAGGGTGATGGATCAGGGGACGCACATCACCTATACGGTAGTAGGGCGGCAAAAAGGGGTGTTTTTACATGCTTCAACTGTCTTTGAGCATGCCCAAAAAGACTTCCGTTGGTGGGATGAGTTGCCATTTCGCAGGTCCATGGGGACCATGAGACCCCAAGCAGTTAGAAAACCCCTTCCGCACCCCAGCGATGCCATTCAAGTCACTGGCCCCGTGTGATGCCGTCCGTCCAGCAGTCCAAGCCAGACGTTCGCGTCCAGCCCCTCAGGATTGGACGGACTCGGCATCCCACTAGTGCTGTCGACTTGGCGTTCGATGGGACTAGTGCTGTCGATGGGACTAAAGCTTCCTGGTGAGAAAAATGGGCACTTTTCTGAGACCAAGCAGCAAAGGCCAAAAGGACACCAAAAGGACCCAGGTGTCTAAAAATGACCAGAATGATCAGGACATGTGTGCGCACGGCGGTCGGCGGGTGTCTGTAAGCCGGGATCCTCCAACATGATGAATCAGCAAGGCAAAGAGAAGCATGGTGGCATCATGTGGCGTCCAAATTGCTCCTCTTTGTTTCAACTCATGTGTTAAGCCTGGACCTGAAGAGTGCCATAGTCCCGAGTACCTATTTAAAAAGCCTCCCTAATGAAAAACACCATGTCCGAAAGCCTAAATTCGGTATTTTTTAAATACCGCCCTTTCAAGCCGCTACTGAACTACCAACATGGTCGATTTTGGGGGTAGTTTCTTTAATTAAGTTCCAAAAACAACCGTAACTGCCTACATCTGTCCACCCCGTCTATCCACCATGGCACGCCGCGTTTACACCAGCAGGCCTTCTTTCCCCCAACGGCACGGACTCATGCAAACGCACTTTCCACCAAGGTCACGCAAAACCGCATGGCACAGCGACATTACCTTTCGAAAGCTTTATATAGTTATTAGTCTAATCAAGAATCACTATTCCAATAAATGTTTTGTTAGGGAAAAGGAAGACCCTTCGATCTGGAGGCTTTTTGAATTTTTGATACGAGTTTAATAGAGGAATGTATATATAATTTTTATGGATTACTTTTGGGCTTTGAAGCTCTTCCCAGGTGACCCTCTTTTGGACCCCCCCGATTTCAGGGACCCCCTTTATATTTTTTTTTGAAAACATGCGACCAAGTTTCACTTAATAGGGGGTGGGGGCGTCGTGTTGTTTAATAGGTGGATAGGATTAAATAAGACTATAGTACTTATATAGATGAGTTAGCAGCACTTGACCGCAATTGGACATGTCAGCATGTTCATCTCTTGGACCTTTCGCTGTGCTTTCTGTTCAAGAGTGTGAACCACCCAAACCTCTCTCGTTTCTATGGGGCATGAACTGGATTTCCCTTAGGCCCGACTGAGATGCTCTGAGTGTCTCACGTCGTTCCGGGTTCGTTCACGACTGTCATTCCCAAACCAGCCATGTCACACAGCCATCAGCAAAGATGAGCGCATGGCGGTCACCCCCGGAGCTGCGCCATCACAAGTGGTGCGCACAAGGAGGCGCCAAAGCAAAGGGGGATGTCTTTTTGGCCCTTCAGAACCCCATAGGAACGAACAACACAAGAAACCTGGGTGGAACGCAAAGCCAATTAAATACTTTCCTTGCGCAAGACAGAACTTTTCAGTGACAGAATGCAACAAATCTGGTCTATTCGAAAGCCCCATCCACATCTTGATGTGACTGGCTGTATGGCTGTTGGAGGTGGGCGATATCAAGTCCACACTCGACTCTAAATAGCCTCGACTGGTAGCTGATGCCATGGCTCTTGAGGCCAGGGTAATGTTCAAAGCCACTGGTCAAAGGAAGCAGGTTTGCTTTGCTTTTTGAACTGCAATTGTTGATTGTCTGGTCAAATACAAACTCATTTTTGGTTAACGCTTTGTTTTTTGATGTTGTTTTAAATCCATCTCAGAATAATGTCAACAAATGTCCCTGCACTGAGGGACTTGGCCTTGGGACTTGGGCCATCTTGGGTTTGTTCATTCTGCTGCTTGTGTTGTCGTGCGTGTGTTGTCTTGGTCTTCTTTACTCTTGGATCTCTTTGAGGCTTGTTTTGCCGTGCGGCACGTCGGATCCCCTGATGCCAACTTAGCAGTACACTCCGACTCACTAACATGGAAATGGGCAATGGCCACTGGGAAGATCCTTTTCCGCTACAAAGCAGGTGGGTTTGTTCACTACTTCCATGTGATGTGTTCGTTTTCAGGGTCTCTAGCATCTCCGCTCAAATAGGCATAGGAAGCGATCAGCATGTGGATCACACATGTGGTGATGGTCACGGTGTCGATCGAAACATGTCGAAACCGAGGTTCCAAGACTCTGAAGCGATGACTCCCAGGGAGTCGTGGAAGGGCCGTCGGTCTGCGGTGGGCAGACCAAACGCATTGACCCCATATATAGGATGAATGCGTTTTTATAAGGCAATATGAAAAGGATCAAAAGTTCATATAATATACAGGATCCCAACATGAACTTCTGGTCCACAAGGCACTGCGGCAAACTCAAGTGCCCGACTTAGTCCCCTATAGTCCCAAACCAACCTGCTTCCGCGACGGCCAAGCAGCACCTGGAGGTCGGTCTGGCCCACAATGAGTTGCAAAGTCAACATGATAATCTCGAGAAGACTAGTTCATGATGAGGGAACATGTAGGCCCTTAGTATAGGGATGTATAGGGTATATAGTTGCAACCATGGGGAAGACGAACAGTTCATGGGGAAGATGACAACCTGATGTGGGAAGATCTAGGTTCAGGCAGGCTTTTTGGTGTACGGTTTAGGGTGCCTGGTCTCCGCGGCAGTTTCTGTCACGCCTCTGAAGAGACATCCCACAAACAAATTATAGACAACAAACATGCACGAAACCCGCCCCATGGGTAGAGGAACATCTGCTCATGTCCAAGACCTGCAAGTTCCATCTCTTTGCCACTTTGCCATCAACGAGGAAAAAGGATGCCCAAGGTCCATTCTGCGGAGCAACGATTGATCTATCTGGCCAGGCCAGAACACATTCCACCAGCTCGCCTTGAAACGCGCTTATTCAACGATATCCAAGCGTCTAGGAAGGTCACGCTTGACGGATCTCTTTGGACCCCAAAGACCCTGGGCTTTGCTCCAAAAGTCCAGAAGCCGAATGCTCCAGGGCACGTCGACCTCAAAAGAAGGGTGGTTGAAACTGTCCAAGCGGAAAAGTGATCCGACATGAGGGAGAATAAACATGCGGAAAACACATCAAGTGCGAGATAAATGGAAGGATCGGCCACCCTGCTGAAAAGTCTTGCGCAAGCATATAATAGGACACTGAAAGTTTTAATGCTTTCTCTTCAGCCATCATGAAGCCAGGTTTTGGGTCAGCTTTCCTGATTCCTTTCCCCAGAATAAACCCCCCGCTCGGGGCCCACTGCAAAGATTCACCGCTCAAACACTTGTTTAAAGGGAAGGGATTCAATCAGTGCTCAGGAGTCTGTCAGGCATTTTCCTACAAGGGGTATTGCACCTGCGCCCAAGAGGATCATTCAAGGTGATTCTAGGGCGTAGTCCCGAAAACATATTTGAACAACCAACCGGTGGGATGATTGCAAAACCATCACTAGCTACAACCCCCAAGAATGGTTTCAGCCGCATCCCGTATACCGTACTAGTCAATCTATTCTCGGCCATGCATGTGAAACGGTATCGGCCAGAAGTGTCAAGGGGTCTCAAGATCTGAGTGAGATTGGCTGGACATGCTGGAAAAGAACATCAATCAGCTCAAGGCCAAACACCTGTTGCAAAAATGGAGCTTCCGAAACTCAGCACCGCTGAGCGTACATCATCACGAAGCTGCTCAACATATAGCTGTGTGTCGCTGGGTTCTTCTATATGGGGGCCAAGTGAGGCCAAGAATCCCACCACAAGAGTCATGCTTTGACACGTTCAACTCCAGGCTGCAAGAACATCTCCTGCCAAGAGGCATGAAACTGCCGGATCAAGTGCATCCCCAGCACCGGCTTCCCACAGCGATAGACCTGCCGCCCAAAGGCAGGAGCTTCGGCATAAGCGCCGTCCATGGCCATGTATTCGAACTCCAACCTCGCACGGTGCCTGCGAGGTCGCAGCCGGTCTGACCCGCGACGTCGCGGTTGGTGTGACCGGGTCCAGGTCGAGTCGCGACGTCGCGGTTGAAACGCCATGCATTCCGTCGTGATGGTATGGAGGGACTACACATACGCCCTGGAGAGGGGTTTCCTGCGAAACTGATGGACACATACAAATTATACAGTAATCTGAAGGACAAGGGTTGGCTAACCTGGCTATTTAAGTAAGCCCCTATCAATTCCCAACGTTTTGGGAACCTTGATAGAGGGTATCGTGTTTATTTTTTGAGAGCCGCCTATCGCTTACCATGGCTTGGAGCATGCCAACGCTAAATACTGCTAGGCTCTTATGCAATCGTGATCATCACAAAATTTGAAGGCACTTCACGTAGTGCTAATAGCTTAAATAGGCACCAAGCATTTCGACATCTTAGTCTTACACAATTGGATGTTGAAGATCCAGGTCACCATATAAACCTTCAAACGCCTTCAGAATCTGGCCTTTTGGCGGACAACACGTGGCCACACTCATGGCTTCAGGAATTGGTCAGCACATGTCAGAACATCGAATGTTCGTTCCGGTCATCAACCAGTAAGTTCAGCACTCGGGCGGGAGTCCATTCGTTGAGACAAGGTATGTTCATAATTTGGATGTAGCGCTCCACTCAAACCTAAAACTCCATGTATGGAATAATAACAATACGCCTACATTGACCCCTGAAACCACCCCAGCTGATCAGCAAATATGCTTGTCCCATCCAACCCAGAACCCGCACCAACAAATGAGGAAAGTGAATCTCGAGGCTGGAATACGTCTAGGGGAGTCCAAAGCATGATGCCACCTTTGATCCCTAAGAACCGACATGGGATTTGGCCCATGTGAAAGTGGGTTCACTTGGCCTTCCTTAGGGCATAGGCATCTATCATGTAAATGCAAATCCCGACGGGGATTTCGAAGAAAGAACTGAGAAGGATGTTCCTGCCACGGCACAAGACTTGGGCCACTTCCACCACAAAAATGGGGTAGGTCATGGGTGACACAGCCAAATTGTGGATCATGATTTCATCGAAGGTCGGGCAAAAGGTGAAGGCTTCGGTAAAGTCCACCAGGCCTCGCGCGTTCTTGGCGCGAACGAGCTCGGGAACGACTTCGAGGTCGAGTATAGCAAGCCATGCGTTGGAAGTGAGAGCTTTCTTCAACCTATGGGGGGACAACACAAATACCTGTCTGCCTGGTCCTTGTTTGCGAGACTTCCTGTCTGTAGATAGCTGATGATAGCTGCTACAGAAGTGAGTAAAGCAACTACATCTTGAGTTTTTTTAGGAGAAGGCCACTGAGAAGGCCTTTACAGATCTTTACAGTAGTTTTACGTCTTTTGATCAAAAGATTTGACCATGTTTTCTGCCCAGTCTCCAGGTTCCCTCTCCCAATCTTTGCAAGCATCCCGCACCTGGATGCTCGCGGTTGAACCAGATCTCTGGGGCATCCGAAAATCCTCCGAGATACCATGGCATCATCAAATTGCCCGTGAAGAAGGGCAAGCGCGGTTCGTGGGCCCATTCCTGTGGGCCAGCGACGAGATCCCGGGCCCCCGGCGACCGAGCAGAATTGTGGAGGTCTCGGCGAGGCCATGGTGGCCGAACAAAACGATATAGAAACATATGCATATCCTGAGATCATTTCTATTTGTGACCTATGTGTGGTCATGGATCGTCAGGGTATAGTACTTTGAATCGTCGCAAGGAATCAAACCATAACAGGAACCGGGTTGTGCCACACTCCTGCGAGATGGTGCCAAAAAGCTCTGGATGATGTTGACTCAGCAGAATCATGAACATTCCTTCACCTCGGTCGGTGAATTTGACATGTTGACTGCGAGTGCATGTGTCTTGGTGTCCAAAATTATTCTAAAATTCTGGAAAGCATTGAAGTCCAATCGGCTCTAGGGATACCTGTAGTTCAGTGCTATGGAAGGATGCCATGATACTTTCTTCAAATATTTAATGCTTGTTTTCTTGCCTCTCGGAACCCATCCTGTGACAAACTTGTTTGGCGCCTGCGGGCAGGGCAATCCGCAAAAGCAGTCATATTTGGTCAAAGGTCATGCTTTCTGGCATCGACTGAACAATTATGACGCCACGATGTTGGCTTATTTAGTCAACATCCCCAAACATAAAAACCGCCCAAAAGCCGTAAACTGTACTGACCAATCAAACTGGGCAACATACAAGTATGGGAAGCTCCTTTGGTTAAAAAAAACAACTATGTTTAGGCTGGTCCATATGCATCGAATGTTGAGTCGTTGCTTGCGTTCATCCGAATCCGATCGTTGCACCAAAAGCATGACTTCCTCAGATTCCCCGTGACAATTACGCGTGCTAGTATATAGGGGAAGCCAACTCCCGGCCCATCAAACCACCCCAATGTAGGTATGTACTGCATACATGGAGTGTCTGGGCGTACTTGATGAGACACACCCAACAAAAAGGCTGAGGCACCCATAAAGCAAAGAGCCTCTCGAGAACCACCAGCAGGTCCAGTGCGGTTCGTCTGCCACTCCACCCGGATGAGCTTACTGACAACCTGAGGCACCAGGGGGTCCAAAGGAATGGTTGATAGTCCCATCCAACATGTGAATGTTCTGGACACCCCTATCCTCCAAGTTCAGCACTCCGACATGGAACTGGTGCAGCCCTGTGGAGATCGAATCTGGAGACCTGGCCGAAGGATTCCTCACACCCTGGTAGATGACATGCGCGTCCAAAGGCTTCTGAGAAGGGCTGGGCTCTTAGCCTGAAGTTTTCTCGTTTGCAGCTAGGGCTAGACCATGCTAGACCTGTCACACGAAGCCTTACCGGCTAGGAGCATGAGAACCATACCGGCACATAGACCTGTCACACGAAGCTTCGTTCCGTTCCGTCGACGCCGCTTGGCCGGCAGCCTTCAGGCAAAACAGATGACGAGTTAAAGCGCACACAGTGCAAAGGTTTTCAGGTGGAAAGGGGGTTCCAGTTTGAACCAGATTGAACTCGGTTCAAAGAACCAGTTTGAACTCGGGGTTCCAGTGTGCTTCCTGTGGTGTCCGAGCAGCCTGAGCCAAAAGGTTCCATTGTTCGTCGCTGGGAAATCAAAAACTTCCAACCGGGGAAATGGGAAAACCAAGAACCCACGCTTCCAATGTCATTTCTCAACCAAAGGTCATCTTTCTTTCCACCGACCTTTTCGTAGACTCTGCCGACTTGGACAGGTTGCTTTGGTCCACTGTGCTTGCCGCATGAGCTTGAAGCTGAAGACTTGCAATGCCCAAGGGCTTCCCTTCCTGGGTGCGGTGGAGGATGGGAGGAGGACCTGCAAAAGGAGCTTCGCTCCAACGACCGGTGGACTCTGCCTGAAGGATCAAGTTTATACATATATATATATATATGACAGTGAGAGCTCATCAACTCATTTAAACACCTAAAAGCTGTGGAAAAAACATGAACAACACATTATTTTGCATTGCATGCTGTGAGTGGTATTATATATATATAATATGCATATGCTACACCCCCTCTAGACCGACATTTTCGTGTGTGATGTACTAACATGTACCAACTTTGTCCTGAAATGGGCCTTGTGCGTGGTGGATGGCGTTTTATGCAGCAGACTAGCAAAGGTGCAAGCATGGAGAAGAAACCAATGCAGCAGATCGAGCACACAAATATGTTTGTGTGGAATAGAGGAAGGAAGGCAACAGATGGAGCACACAGAGTGAAGGCAGCAAATGCAGCAAACAGAGATGCTTGTGCAAGATGCAAGTGTTTTTTGCAGATTGCGGCGTGACGCTGTGCAAGAGCCTAGAGGAAATTCCTCATGGCCCAGTCGCACAGTTCTCCAGAGTTTTGCCACAGGTCTAGAACACAACTTGGCCCTCAAAAGTGTGGATCTTTCCAATCTAAAGCAAACTAAAACATACATGATATCCTGGAAGCCGTGCCAGCACCGAAATGCATGCCTTTTCCAATAGGACCTGCCTGGTGCAAAGGAGCAAAGGCCTCATCCACGACACAGCTTCAAAACCTATTTGGCAGGGATGGAGGTCTCAAGTGAAAGCTTTTCAGAACTTGAAGCATTCCATCCTCCATGTTACGGATGATGACCCCGAAGCGGCAGCCACAGCAGGAAGAGGTAGCAAAGCCATGGAAGCAAGATTGATTTCCCTTAATGCTCCGCAATCTTGCTTCGTGCCATCTTGCTTCTTGCTTTTGGTGTGCTTCAATGCGCGTTAAGCACTCAGCCTGAGAAAACATATAAGACAAGGATATCCGTTCATATTCCATAGGAGGGGTCGTGCACCCCATTCTATAGCTACAATCTCTAAGGCATGCAGCATGCAGAAAACACTATAGAATGATCGATCTTCACACCAAAAACACTACAAAATGACAAGGAATGATAAAAAGGCTTACTACAAAATGACGTGCCATGCAATTTCACAAAAGCAATACATTGATATATAACGGACAAACTAATATTAGGATGATCATAACTGTCTACTACAAAATGAGAAGTCAAGAAAAATGTATAGATTTCTTAGACAAAGATGCTCACTACAAAATGCTTCCCCTATTCTTGTTAAATCATTACAGATTGTGTTTACACAACCCTACACATACTTAACATACTTGACTAATCAGGAAGAATAAAAATCTCTGCAAAATGACTATTCTTCTGGCCCAAACCAAACTTACAAAAACATCTATATCATCTCTCCAAACCATTGATTTACTACAAAATGACAGTGTTTCGGGGGGTCTCCAGGGGATCCCCTCTATGCAGAATTTACTTTTTATAGTGGCCTCGAGGTCACCCATTTTGTAGAGAAATGTTCACGGGTATAGACAAGGTATTTTGCATTTGGTGTGCTTTAAAGCGCTTTAAAGGACTCAAATCTTCAGAGTAAATATATGTTCACCCCCCATCCCCAGGACACAGGGGGGGTACTATAGTGTATATATCTTGAGTGCTAACGTGTTGCCGGTCTTCGCCTCTAAACTCTCCCGAGTGTCGGATGGGTGGCCACCGTTCCTGGTTTCATCTCGGTGACCCTGATGTGCTCGTGCAAGAGCGTGGCAGGGTCGGAGAAAAAAACAAAGTCACCTGGACAAATCGCACAGGGTGCCAACGAACCTCTTGGTTTGGGGGTGAGATTTGACAGGACAAAGAAACAAGTAAGAAACATATCACATTACATTACATTACATTATGTAAACTATATATAATCTGTTATAATCTGAATATATCTGAATTGTTCAAAGGAGACACCTTGTACACTGGTTTGAGTCATGTTCCCCTTGACGTGCCACCTCACAAGTGTGAACGCCTGCGCATGTGCATCTGGAAGTTGAACACGAGGTGACAAAAGTACAACCAATGGCAATAAATCCTTCAGTCACTGCGACACCCGAGAAACTGTGTGTCACATCTGCAGCTCCTGCCCGGATATGCTTGGGAGCTTTCCAGTTTGACCAATGCAATGGGAGACACCAAACCCACCAGCCTTACCAACATGGGAATGCACTCTGAGCCACTTAGGACTTCGGTGAGTGTCTCATGATGTGGACAAACATCATGAGAACCCTGCAGTTACTGTATCGTTAAGTGGCTTGCCCACTCTCCCATCAAGATCCTGCCAAGAGATGGAAACAAAGGTCGGACATGACCAACTAACACGGACAGTGGCGACATCAGGATCAACGCAAACAAAGCAAACTGCACTTCGCCTGAGGTTCGTCCCCGCAAGGCTGCACTGCATGAGTCATGAGCAAACACGCTACTCGATGCTACTCGTGTTATTAGTCATGAATCAAAATTTATGTCACAGTACTATATTGCAGCTTTGGGTGACAGTCACAAGTATTATATAATTCAAAATCGCGTGTGAAAGGCATGTGTGTGAGCATGGTGACAACATGTGACAACCATTCTTGTGTGTGTGTGCCAGTCACGATGTTCCGCATGTGTTTTGCTCCACAAATCCTAGGGGCCAGCATCCACCCAAATGAGGTGATCAATCTCTTGGCCAGCGAAGACTTCCTCTGCAAAGAGCCGCATCCAACCAGGCGCACCATAAACTCCTGAGGAAAACCTTCTCAAATGATCCAAGCTTGGTACCTCACCCTAGCTGAGCAAATCGCCTTTGAAGTGCCAGCATCAGTAGCTACTATCATTGATTTGCAAAGCGTGTCCTTGCTAAGATAGCTTGAATCCCAGAGGTGGAGGCGTTTGTGCCATGGTGCTAAGTCCGAAGAGGCCAGATCTGTAGCTCGTATCCCCTTGAACATCCGGCTCCTGACCATCCAGAAAGATGTTCACCAGCCATGCAACCCAATGGGACGTGCCGGCGAAGCAGGGGCCAAATCCTCTTGAGATGCTTTGGACCATAGTAGTCCACTGCGCTGGCCCGTGCAAGAAGCTCAGGTTCCAAAACCTACCCAGCCGCTCAGGTTCGAAGCTAATACGCCGATACGCCCAAGTTGACTGCAAAATGACTGCAAATGAGTAAGTACTTCACCTGTTGTCAATGGTGGCCCCGCGTAAAACAACTCATACAGTCATAAGATCCCGAATGGAAAAACCGATCCAAGGGCCTCCGCCAAAACATGGGCGACGTCCTCTTGCCCAGCGGTGTCCACGAAAATGTGGAAGTGCAGCGGCAGCAAATGTGCATGAAACAAGGCAGAGCGAATCGTGGCCAGGGCCTCCAAGGATCAATCTACACAACCCACGACCCCCAACCACAGCTTGGGTGTGCCAAAATCCGGAAAAAGAAACACACCCAAAAGACCCTCTCTCTCGGTGGTGGTCATATCCGTTCAACTTTGGAAGGAGGAGCCCTGGTCGTCTTCACATGAGGAACTGGCTTGACAGGTGCAAACGTCCATAGTGGGTGCAAACTTCCATCTTCCAGCTTCCCTCCATAGAAAATACCACTGTCAATACACCACCGTCATTGTGGATCTTCTATAAATTGGCCAATCCTGCAGGAACACTGGCCCGCTTTCGATCTCGGAATCGTCTCCCGAATTCTTCCAAAGAACATGGAAGTGGCATGGTTTTTATGGGAATTTAAGAGGACTTTCCTTGCTCAAACAGCTTCCGTCTTCACCACTTCCATCACTTCCATGCAACGTCCTTCGCCTCGCGGTTTCGGTGGACGCGGACGCCGCGGACTCGGCGCCTGGCGCCCATAGACCGGCTGCCCGATGGACGCGATCATCGCCACATGCACCGAACCGGCCTCCCTCGGTGTGGCGCTCTGCAGTACGGCCGGGCGGAAAAGGCGGCGCACCTGGCCGCCCCGGGGGGGGCAGGGGCAGGGGCGACGACAACCGCAGGTGAATTGAAATGCCTTTGTAAGGTCTTTCGGAAGCATGGGGCATACGGCATATGTCTCTCTATCGTCTCTCTTGCATGATCTTCTGTTTATCAACTTTCTTTAAAAATGAGTCCATGATATTGATATAGAGTTTCTGAGATTAAAAGGCTGTCACCGGTTCTTTCAAAATAGTCAAACATACACTAGCCACAACGGACTATTTTTGTATACATGTGTCTGAATATGCTGCACCTAGTGAAGTGACCTCTGGCTAGGTCAATCGTGCACAATCCTGTGCATTTTTATATCCTAATGGTAGGGCTGCATGCGTTTGTTGGGTGGCAGTCGAAGTGGTCTGATTTGGGGGTTGCTGTAAGGTGATTTCAGCAGTTTCCAGCCAGAAGGGACTTGCTGGAACATGGCCCAGCTATACATATGCAACGGTCGCAAGGATCCTCCAGCATGTTCAGGGTCAATCCATCATGTAGGGTCAACTGTCAACTGTTCAAAGCCAAGCTATACACTTCACAGCCTACTTATGCCAGTGGAATGTCTTTTTCTGGGATCCAGGGACCCATCACCCATCACTCCCGAATGCACCTCCGCTGCATTGCGCCGTTTCTGCATCCGTGCGATTCGTTGATGAAAGGCATGGGCCAGGGGGATGCGCTGGTGTGGCCCCTCAAACCTGGGCACCGACCGAAAAACACAAAAAACACACACACCAACAACCTAGGTGGAGCTCCAAGGGCCCTTGTCCGAGGTCGCTGACCTCTCATGCATTCAGTTTTCACCCAGGGATACCAAGAGTTCACAGAAACCGACAACTTAGGTCAATACCTTTGCCCAACTTCTGGTGCCACTGCCATTTGAGGAGATCCCAAGAGATGCTCCAGCACTCTTGCGGCATGGCGGAGGTTCTCCTGATGGCACCAGCGGAGGGAGGTGTTTCTCTTCCTGGGCCGGAGAGGAAGGTCTGCATGGTTGAGATCTGCCGTCAAAAAACCGCTACAAACGAGTGCTCAAACGCGCTTGGCCCTGCTAAACAAAAAGGCGTCGCCGGCCATCCGTGGCCAATGTTCAACAGTATTGTGAGGTGCGCAGCTCATGCGGAAAACAGGGGGAAACAGTGACTCGCAAACAACCAATAGTCGCCACGTCGTGTTCAGGACAGTTTGAAAAGTCGTGTTCATTGGCCATGTGAGTCTCCAATCTGCATCCAAAAGGGGACGTCTCCCAAGTAACCATGCAGAGAATTCGCTCCGCCACTCGCTTGGTAGAGGGGCCACCTGCGGTTCCCGCAGGACTGAGTCGTGAGGACTGTGGGAGAGCCCAGGGATAGACGTGCAAATTTGGAGAGTCAACACCATGACTCCTACAAAGGTCCTTCAGTTTCCGTGGAAATAGAGGTTAACCTTGTTCGACATGGGCCAATCATTCACTCCCCAAAAAAAGGTTGAAGGTTATCCACTTTTCCTGAGTATGGACTCACCTGTAGCTTGTGCCGCAGCACATCCTTTTCCCTTTGTGAATGCCGCGGAAGCAGCAAGTGAAATTCAAGCAACGATCTGTGTTCCGAACTACACTCAGTTGATCTCAGTTGTGGTTGTGGCACGTTAGGCTCTCTTGATCCTCTTAAACGTTGAAACATGTTGTTTTTAACGGCTTCGATGGCACCCTGAGTGGCAAGCCACCCCGCTGACTGGAGCTGGAATTGAACAATGTCTGTTGCATAATGTTGCAATGTTGCACAAAATCAGAGGTTCGCTCTGGAGTTTCTCTGCATTAAACTGCAGTCTTTTGATGCAGAATTAGAATGGTTCTTCTAGAACTGATGGCTTCCCAGCTGGGGAACCCCCGCCTGCAAGGCTGTTGACACATATCTCCTCTCACAGCCACAGTCCGGAGGCAAGTCTTGATTGATGCAGGTGCAATTTGACAAGCACTCCGCAAAGTGCAGGAAGTTCATGTTCCTTCGCCAGCTGTGACAAAATTCCACAAGCTGGAAAGTGAAAAAAACACATTTAAAAACAAAACAATGACCACTGCAACTGCAAACTCAAAAACCCTCCACGCTTGGTTTAGTGTTGGTTGGTGGTGAATGTGGTAGCGTTAGAACTCAACACCCCAAATAAGTTGCTTTACCAAATACGGAACAAATACTGTTTGCTTTCTTCCATCCAGGGACAAGCTGTTTGCCATCAGAACAGCTTCGCGGTCATTGCAGCAATGCTCCTGGGCGTATTTGATGCCTCCAGCACTCTGTGTGCCTCGGTCGTTCTCGACATCTGAGATAGAATGGATCTGCCATGGGACGAAACTGGGAGACATTCCGGAAGCAACAAAAACAGAGTACTGCGCGGCAAATGGTCGAAATACGTCAGGTCCACTTCCGAGCGTCATAAAATGGTTCTTTCTCCAAATTCACTTCCACCCAAACCCTTCGCCAAAGTGAAACTGTTAAATTCACTTCCAAGTCCTTCTTTGAAAGTTCGCTGCGCTTTTGATGCTGAATTAGATCAATTGACAGTTCCTAAATGTTTCTTACAAACCCATTGCCACCCACCATGATTCAGGCAGAACTATAGTAGAAACTGCACAGGAGAAAGCACCAAACTTTGGCCTATGAATGCCTTTATGGCATGCAATGACCCAGCTTTGCCTCCCCTTCGTTCCCTTTATGACATAACTTTTCCAGTATGCCCCGGGCACGGAAGCATCCCTCCAGCTGTGAGGAGTCGATGGAGTGACTTGCACAGCACCGGTGAAAGTCGAAGGACTCGCGTTGTCGACACGGCAGGGACACCACTTGGAAACCTGGGGCGCGACCCGTTCGGCGCCGGCATCGCGGTTCGTCGGATCGAATGACACCCGACGTGGGGAGACGGCCTTCAAGCAGAAGGCCACAGCCATTGATTGACCCTTGGCGTAAGTGCTGACCGTGCCAGCTTGGGAGGTGAAACAAAAGGTTGAACTGTTTTCTTCTGTCTGTTTGTCACACTGGCACCACTGGGAGCCCATAAAGCTTCCTGAAGTCATCATTAAATTGAGCGATTCACATCTCTTCAGCTCGACTCCGTGCTCTTCAAGCAAAACCACCCTCACCATGAAACCACCGCACGCCGTGCTTCAAACACCTTCCTCTTCGCTTCCCACAGCATCACGCCTTCTCCCCAAAGGGCTGGATCCTCCTTCAGTTCTTCGTAGCGATCGCCCACGGCGAGTCCGAGAAGAAAGCGAAGAAGGAAGCTGCGCCCCATGGTTCCGCGCTGGGTCACCGACCCGGTCGGAACCGGTCTGCGGACCGCTGCGCGGTTGCACCGGTTCCGGGTGTCTCATGGCCGGGTTCCCCACTGAAAGCATCGCCCAACGCTGAAGCAAAACAGCCAGGATGGCAACCACTCAGTGCATAACTGGCTACTGGTCACGGACAGAACCTGATTGCAACTAAGTCCGCAACAGTGTCCACAGAAATGCAGGGAAAAATTGCATGCTTAATTCCATGTGTTTGTTTCTTTTCTTCGCTCGCGATTGTTTGTGTTGCCCTAGATTTGGAAGAATGTGCAGAAACACTTGATGCCTTATTGTGCTTTTTGGCCTGAAGGCTGCTTCTACCATCCCTGCCTTGAAAAGGCTGATGTCCAGGTTCCAGCCCAAATCCCACGGATTTGGGCGCCACCTGAGGGTCTCCTTTTGGAGCCTTGGGCCTTTCGGGTCTCCTGAGCCGGGTGTCCGCCCGAGCGATCTTCCGGGCCTCTGCGCGCGACTGTCATGTGCGCATCCCATCAGCGACTGTCAGACACTGGCCGAGGATCCCCCTGATCACCTGCTTACTGGAGTTCAACAAGAAAATCTTCGAAGGAACAATCAGCGGAATTGGTGCTTTCATGTGCTTTCAAACTAACCTCGAACATCTGGAGGTCTTGCAGCTTTGTTCGGTTCGACCCGTCTCTCTTTGAGCCGAACAAATCGTCCGGACGTGAAAAAGGCCCGCTGCAGCCGCGTTCCGGTGCGGCGGCAAGATGGAGATCGCAGTCGCAAGAAAACTCCACAAGGGGACCATGGTGGATGAGGGGGATTGCTTTTGCATGCTTTGCCAAGGAGTGCCTGAGGCATATATGTATATTAAAAATGCACCAAGCTGCTTGAGACCAAATGCATATCAATTTGCAACAGGAGAGCCACTTGAACTTGGGAAAGGATGCAAAGATCGGTAAAGGAACTGCTGATTGTGGTGGCGGCAAGTTGCAGCACTTGTTCTTTGTCACTTGCTCGCCGCCCCTCCAATTATTCCAGAGCCATCCCGACATATCCTGAGTCCATTTTCCACTTGTTGCTCTCCAAAGCACGATACGATGCTGCGGCCGGTGCTTTCAAAACGCATCACAACTGAGTCTTGCAACGTGAAGATTGATTCGCGATGCATTATAAAGCGGTTATTCATGAACCTGTTGGCGGTTGCTCACCCAAATCACCTGCCCCAAACATGGGGCCGGTATTTTCACTCTGCCGAAGCCTGAGTCTATGGCTTGTGGCTATCAAACATGCAGTGGCTTTCTGTCTGGGTAGAGGTTCGCTTTTCTCCTAGGGCCCCTATGGGATCCTAAGATCCATAAGGGGAAACAATAAAGTTTTGCCATGCTGCAGCAGGAACAAAAAGTTTCCAACGATCATCAATGAACCACTGCGATCAGCATGAAATGAATATAGTTAATGGGAGCCCTCCGTACATCTATCGACCTCCCCTATCAGGCTAGGGAGACACTTCTCATTCGGCATGGCAGGTTTGGTGGTTGCGCCCCGAACATCCCTGCTACCCCAGGGGGTGGGGGGGTCGGACCCCCAACAGAAAATGGATTATCCATTTTTGACCCTGATGATGCATTAGCAACGGTCTAGATCCAGTGATATTCAGTGTCGTCCATAGCACCAGCCTGCACTTACCCAACCTGTTTTGCACTTTCTGCATCATATGTTGCATCGTTTGGGTTGTGTTTTTGATCTTTTGGCGTCATCTGTTTGGTCTCTTTTGGGCTGCGTCCTGTTTCTGGTCGAGAACCAAAAAAGCATTGGATAGGGGTCCAGGTATCTGGTACTTCGAGGTGCAAAGCAAGCGAGCGTTGGGTTGTACAAATCTTGTTACATCGAGCCTTAAATCAAAGAAACAGACCTTGATTTACATTGCGTGGACGCGTTGCCTAATACACTGCATGGACGCGTTGCTTACGCCCGCGGGGCGTAAGCGATGCGGACCCTCAGGGAGATCCGAGCAGTGGGACCGCGGTGCCGTCCAAAAGGTCGCGTCGCTTTCGCCCGCGGGGCGTAAGCGATGCTCCTTGTTTTTTTGATTTTTGGCTACATTCAAAGCAAGACCATCATATTCAATCATGCCAGCATGGTCAAGTGAATTCAGGCGGTTCACACGATCTTGGCACTTTTTTTCTTTCCCTGTGTCTTAATCTACTGCCCAAGCGGAAAGCCATCAAAAGTCTTGAACCTGGTGGGCACCCTGGCATCTCCATGCTCAGACTTGTATTCAGTGAGCTTGCTGAAGCCTCTTTCCCATTCAACCGCGTCGCTTGACAAAATTTCTCGGGGCCACGCGGAGATAAAACTGGAAACATGTTGGCTGTGTAAATGGAATATTAAAATGGAATTCCTAAAGGTACCCCCCCCTCGATCCTCCATTTTCGAGGAGGGGGGATCCCCGAACATTTCAGAGTTGTATTGTATACCATCAGCGAACGATCCTGGACTGGTGCATGGCCCGGTGGTCATCCGACTGGTGCATGGCCCGGTGAACACAGCTCGATGGAACCTCCCCTCGTAAGCCCCTGCGATGGTGACACATGTGGCGCTTGGCCGTCCAACTCTTGGAGTGGCGCCCTGGGCCACGCACCGCCCGACTCATGTGACGTCCTCGACTGGCACCGCCCTGGCATCGCACGTCGATATTGCGCTGCAATGTGTTCGCTTCGCAGGTGGACAAATCTCAGGGAGTCCAAGGCTACATGCCGTTCAACAGCTTCAAGTCGAAGTCCCAGAGGCGCATCTTGTGACACCCGGGGTGCTCTTGCCACCAGGTGTGTCCAGAAAAAAAACGGAAGCAACGGGGGCCATCGATTGGACGAGCAGTGGTGGAAGCTTCATAGGGTCACGCGAGACTGCGAAAACGAGCGTTCAGGAAGCCTTCCGCTCATGATCTTGGGGTTCCGACATTTAGTTCTTGTAATTGGCTAATTGGATCTAATTGGTGAGTTTTTTTGGGGGGCTCATAGGTGCCCGGGATGTCTTGGGATTAGCATCTATAGTTACAGGTTTCTTGGCAAGAAATGTTATTGTGCTACAGTGCAATGAGGAACCTTTGCCTGTCTCATCCTTTCTTGTGGTTCATGAGCTTGAGGTTGTAATACGCATTTTGGGTGCCTAAAGGCCCAAAGGCAATGGTTTGCGCTCTTGACTGACTCACTGTATGTGGGCAAAGGGTTCACTTGTCAACCAGAGTCGATGTAAATATGCAATTCCAAGTATAGTAGACAGGTCAGAACCATGATATGAAGCATGTTTCACTGGGCGGTCTGTGCGTCGACAGCCGTTCAAATCGGGTCGAAGATGGACAACGACGACACCGTCACGTGCTGTTCGCGCAATGGCGCGCAGATCGATGACCTAATTCTCGAGATCATTTGAGGTGAAGATGAGGTGAATGAGGTGACCAAACCGAGGAGAACATGTGGTGAATGCACCAACCCCCATCCAAAGCCCGAGGAATTTGGAGAGATCACTCCGAGATGGTGGGCACCGCACCTTTGGGGCCCTCAGTCCACCGCATCCACTGGAATATCCTGGCGCACGCGCGTGTCTTTGTTCTGAAATGGGAAAGCCCACAAGACTCCGCAGTTTTGATCGTAGACCCAAATACTGTGTGTACTGCTTACACCGCCTCTCTCTCTCTATATATATATATATCTCTCTCTCTCAAGCCGACTGAAGGTGCTACCCGCTCCTCCCAGTTGCCATCGGCATCTGGATCCTGGCAAAACCAGTTTTTCTTCTCGGCCAAGAACTGGAACCTGAGGAGTGCCCATTGGCCAGCGGGGTGCGGCGGGTCGTGGGGATTGGCAAAAGGGAATATCTGGTTTTCACCGTTTTCACCCAAAAACTATGGATTTCCTCTGGTTTTGTGTTGATGTACCCTCAAACCAATTCCGGGATGGGATAGATGCGGATAGAACATGATAGAACTGCCCTGGGGCTATGCATGGGCCACACATAGACCAATCATTAAACTCAAGGAAAGCTTGTTTGCGAAACAAGCTTCAGCGGCTAGAGGTTCCTGTCACTTGCTGTCTCTTGAACATGCACGAAACCCCTTCCCGTTTCCAAGCAAACCAAGGCCCTAGGCAAACTCTTGGCCACCTGCCAGCAAATGTGGTGATTGGATCATGGACATGAAGAAGCCAGCATCTTCACAGCAGGAAAAGGTTGGCCCAACTACAGGTTCTTAATAACACAGTATACATCAGTATACTATATACTGTTGTATATGGAATCGGTTCAGTCTCGTTGGGGACAACCGTAAGTATAAGTGTTCAACACAAGGCTTACGGCACTCTTTGGACTACACGTGGCTGGGATCCGATAAGCCGCACACAGTCCCTTTGGACGAATCTCGACCAGCGACGCGGGCTGTTTGACTTGGGAAACAAGTGCGTTATTCAATGCCTTTGCTTATGCAAAAAATCCTTCCTGACAGCGTCTAGACTATATATAAATATTTCTAGGTTGTTGAGAAAGGGGGGGGTCCAAATACTGTTGATTTGACTCACCATGTTTTAAGACTTTTTTGGAGCAGCTTGAGAACTTCTTGAAGAGCGTTTGCTGGCGCCGCTGTTTTGCTCATGGCCGCTGGCATTGCAGGCAAATTCCACGACTGGGAAGCAAGGTCCTTGCAGCATCAAACCCAACGATGGGCTAGCGGCAAACAGGGATGTGAACGTGTCGCTGTGGCCCCAAGTGTCTGGCCCAAAGTGTCTTGTTCCAGGGTCCAAGGATGCAACTTACACCCTGGGAATACAACATTGTTGCATACCTCAGGAGGAAAATCCAGTTCTTCTTACCGAGTCGAAACCAACATCTATTTGTGGATCAGTGGCAGCCGACGAATCGGAAGTCCAATTCGTTGTTGGCCAGTGTGGGACAGTTATCACCAGCTCTTAAATCTATAATTAACATCTAACAAGTTTTGGAATGAAACAGTGTGAGGTGACATTAAGCTGCTTGCAGGATTCAAAGGCAAAAGGGTTTTCACTGTGGAAACTTCACGCAAAAAGTTGTCACGGAGCGAGAAGCATGGATCCATGAGTGGATCCATGCTGCCTGCCTTCATGGTTTCATGCTCCCTTCCAATTCTCTCCAGTGGCGAGGCATATGCACATGAAACACAAGATCCCTAGCCCATATTGATGACCAAGTTCTTGTCTCCACTAGAACAACGTCTGGCCAGGAATCTGCCCCTGAAGTGGCAGGATGGTGAAGCTTCTTCTTTTGTGATGACAGTCTCGTGAGCTGCGCCCATCACCCCCAGTCAGTCCCGGTCCTGAAAACACCTCCGCCATGCAGAGCTCTGCCGCCGAGGGTGAGACGCAAAAGGCCAAGAACGGCCCCGGCAAACCAAAGTGGCGGACCAAACGATGAGCTGGGCTGCTAATGAGTTTCTCTTTCAGTCTGTATGTGTCTGTGTGAGGTTCCCTCCTGTCCATTCAAGTTAAATCCTTACCTCTAAAACACTGCCAGGAATTGATCACCCTTGGTGTGGTTTGTGGGATGTAGATTCTCCGATGCAAGAATATGCGTCTATATATATTGCAAATCTGCAAGCCATCACAAGTCATGAAGCTGAAGAGGGGCAGTTAGTTCGCAACAGAAAAAGATTACAGACCTCTTCATTATATAGACTCCGGAGAAGAGTCAAAGCAGTCTTCAGGCTGAGGTACCTATACAATTATATACAATTAAATGCCTTAGCACAATACATCACCATACACACTGCTCTTGCTGCATTTCAGTGATCGTGGGCATGTCTCATCCATCCAACGCGAGCCAAACATCAGAACACCTCACATCCCGCCACAATGGCCCTTTCCCCTCTGCGGGCCAGTTTGCAGTTCGGACGGCTGAGCGCCATCCCTGTGCGGGAAAACATGTTTCCTCAAGGTTTCCTCATCGTAGAAGTTGCTTCTTCTGAACATCCGCAACCCACAAAAGAAATGCGCGATGTGATGATGTCTCTTTAAGAACCTCTCTCTAGCATCTTGGGAAACCCAAATCTCCTCTAGTCCTCAGCATCTTATTGGAAACTGTGGCTTCCACAAACTGATCCTGCCAGACCCAACTGGCCTGTGAAACAAATCGTGCTTCCGGCCCCTACACGTCGCGCATCGCGTATTGTACAGCTCGAACTCCTCAGGTGGTCTTCGTCTCCGTGACCATCTCCAGCAAGTGCTCCATCTTTTGAAGCTGCATGTCCATGTCCTTGGCCACTTGGTCGCTATGCTGCCCAGTGGGGTCCAATACATATGTTGATTATATTTTCTATTAATACAGAAAATTTACTTTATAAAATCCCTACCAATTACCTAGGGGGGGCGTCACCTAATTGTAAGTTACAATTTCCTAGGTTTGATACCTCAAAAATTGTAACTTACAATTACGAAACCACCTCAAAAATTGTAACTTACAATTTTGAGGCATCAAGGTGGGTCAGACACCCCCCAGGCCTCAAAAATGTAACTTACATTTTTTCAAAAATGTATACATTTTTGAGGCTTGATTGAATAGTATGGCATTTCTCAACATGTCAAAGCAGAATCAGCGGCTTTTTTTCAAAGCCCGGAAAAGTCGGAGTGCACCGCCCCGTGTCTTCCAGGTGCCACACTGCAAGTATTTGATGGGGGGGGTTGAAAATGTAACTACACACGTCGGAGGTAGTAAGTTACATTTTTCTGCCCCCCCTTTTAATCTCATTAAGTTACATTTATGAACCCCCCCCCTGTGAGTGGTTTGTGGGGGGGGGTGATAAATGTAAGTACAGGCCTCGGACGTCCTAAGTTACATTTTTGAGGACCCCCTCCCCCCCCAACAAAGCACGTCAAGGGGGGGGTACTTACAATTAAACAAGATGGAGCCCACGAACCCGAATGCAAACACCTTCAAAAAGCTACATATGTCCAAATGAGACTCTTGTAGGACACTCTTGTGGGACACTCTTGTGGGTCACTCTTGTAGGAAACTCTTGTGGGACACTCTTACGGGACACTCTTGTGGGACACTCTTGTGGGACACTCTTGTGGGACACTCTAGTAGGAAACTCTTGTGGGACACTCTTAGGACACTCTTGTGGGATACTCCTGTAGGACACTCTTGTGGGACACTGTTGCGGGACACCCTTGTGGGACACTCTTAAGGGACACTCTTGTGAGACACTCTTGCGGGACACTGTTGCGGGACACTCTTGTGGGACACTCCTGTCAGACACTCATTTGGGGCACTCTTGTGGGACACTCTTGTGGGACACTCTTGCAGGACACTCTTGTGGGACACTCTCGTGGGACACTCTTGTGGTGGGACACTCTTGTGGGACACTCTTGTAGGAAAAACTTGTGGGACACTCTTGTAGGACACTCTTGTGGGACACTCTTGTAGGGCACTCTTGTGGGACACTCTTATAAGACACTCTTGTAGGAAACCCTTGTTTGATACTCTTGTAGGACACTCTTGTGGGATACTCTTGTAGGACACTCTTGTGGGACACTCTTGTAGGGCACTCTTGTGGGATACTCTTGTGGGACACTCTTAAGGGACACTCTTGTGAGACACTGTTGCGGGACACTGTTGCGGGACACTCTTGTGGGACACTCCTGTGGGACACTCATTTGGGACACTCTTGCGGGAGTGGGACACTCTTGTGGTGGGACACTCTTGTAGGGCACTCTTGTGGGACACTCTTATAAGACACTCTTGTAGGAAACCCTTGTTTGATACTCTTGTAGGACACTCTTGTGGGACACTCTTGTAGGACACTCTTGTGGGACACTCTTGTAGGGCACTCTTGTGGGATACTCTTGTGGGACACTCTTATAGGACACTCTTGTGGGACACTCTTAACTCTTGTGAGACACTCTTGTGGGACATGGTTGCAGGACACTCTTGTGGGACACTCTTATGAGACACTCTTACGGGACACTCTTGTAGGACACTCTTGTGGGACACTCTTGTGGGACACACTTGTGGGACACTCTTGTGGGACACTCTTGTGGGACACTCATACGGGACACTCTTGTGGGACACTCTTGTAGGACACTCTTGTGGGACACTCTTGCGGGACACTCTTGTAGGAGACTCTTGTGGGACACTCTTGTTGGAAACTCTTGTGGGATACTCTTGTAGGACACTCTTGTGGGACACTCTTGTAGGACACTCTTGTGGGACATTCCTGTAGGGCACACTCTTCGTACGAGACTTCCTCCAAAAGTCACGCTGCGAGGCTGCAAGACGAGCGTTTCGTACGAGACTTCCTCCAAAAGTCACGCGTCAAGTCTCAAAAACGAGCGTTTCGTACGAGACTTCCTCCAAAAGTCACACGTCAAGTCTCAAAAACGAGCGTTTCGTACGAGACTTCCTCCAAAAGTCACATGTCAAGTCCCCAAAACGAGCGTTTCGTACGAGACTTCCTCAAAAACTCACATGTCAAAGTCTGCAAAACGAACGTTTCGCACGAGACTTCCTCCAAAAGTCCAGCGGAAACACCCATCGGAGCACACACATCACGCAGCCCTGCCAAGCAGTTTCGCGATTCCAGCCCCTCCAAACAACATCCGCACACACGCCAATCCCAATGTACAGCGACATTCACCTCTACCACAACTCACAACCTCACGATTCCCTGCGCCTGCCACGAATCTTTCCGCATCCACACGTCTAACGCGCACAAAGTACTGCGCCTGCCACGAAATGTCACCTCCGTCACACCTCGCAACCTCACCATTCCCTGCGCCTGCCACGAGAATCGCACTTCCACGCCTCAAAACCCACAAAAGTACTGCGCCTGCCACGAAAAGTGGCAATATCATCTCATGTCAGCTTCAACAAAATTTGCACCACACCACACGTTTGGAATGATTTCGACCCATTCTGAGCACACTCCCATCCACCAAAATCGCCATTTCAGCTGAGACTGGTCACGAAAACAGAGCTTCGATGCCACACCCTGAAACGCAAATCCCAATGGCACGGCCACATCCAACACCCCAAAAACACGACTCTCCAAACGCTAATCCCAATGGAACTGCGTAGCAAACTGAGGATCTCACAAAACGCTGCGCCTGTGCAGCGAAATGCATCACGTTTCTTGCGCGACATGTCATTTTCATGCAAATCACAATGGAATAGCGTCGCAAACTGACATGTGACACATCCATGCCTGGTCACTTGCAAAAGCTTCCCCCAATGGCAGCGCCTTAGCGCTCTACCGCGGACGGTTGCGGACGGTTGCGAACATAGAAACAACGGGTCGCGAACAAGGCTCCACCCCCAGACCCCCAAGAGTTAAACGAGAACCCTTCGCTACGCATTCGGGAAAAAACACCTAAGGGGGGGGCAGAAAATGTAAGTTACATTTTTGACGCCCCCCCCCAAAATCCATGGGCAAGGGGGTAGGGATTTTATAAAAAGTAAATTTTCTGTATTAATACAAAATATAATCAACAAACCATCCAAGTCTGAGCGACTAACAACCAATGCAAACGAGAGTCAGTGAGGTTCTGATCTGTTTCATCTGTCCTGCAGCGATTTCGACTCGCCAGCGATTTCGGCGACCGTGGGACACTCCGCCGGAGTGGCGTTCCAGGTGAGTGAGGAGTCGGTCCGTCGGGTGGGAAAAGCTTTGGAAACTTCAAGATCTGGCATCACAGTGTGGAGAGGTTTGCTTTTGGAGATCCAACACACCGGAGTTTTTGTTTGATGGAAGCACAAGTTCCTTCAGGAACTGGAAAGGGATCTCACCGGTATGGTCAGTCCCACCTTTCACCAAGGAGATCACACTGTTTGGGCTTCTCAGTCTCAGGCCGTGCTCGTGCAGGCACGTTTTGAAGATGTGTTCATTCAAACTCTCGAAGAGCGGTCACAGCGGAAGGACTTGCAAGCAACACGACTTATTTGGCTTTCAAGAATCTGGGGGGTGGATAGCTCAGGCTTGATGAAGACAACGATCTAAAACAATCTGATCCTCTGAATTCAAGGGTCCACCTGGTCTCTCTCGACCTGCCATCCTGCCCAAGGTGGGAAGGTGCACCAGCTTCGTTTATATTGGCAGGGCTGGGTTGGCTCAACAAACCTCAAAAAGGACTTAGAAGAATGGCAAATATGCCCTCTCTCTACCACTCTGGATGCAAAAAACCTAAAAAACTACAAAAAACTGTGTTTTTGTTGCTCATGTCCGGGCTCGTCAAATATGTGTCGACCTCTCCATGCTCTTCCGGGACCCCGGCCTAACCACGTCGATTCGCAGGTTGGGCGACAACTTCAGCGTGTTCACCTCAGCGTGCAGCGTGCCACCCAGGAGGTGAAGGACTTCCAAGGTCCGAGGAGGTCACTTCCTGTCGACAGGTTCCTGTCGACAGGTCGGTGGTCTGGGGCCTCGACGTGTCTTGTCTGGAGATCCACGATCCACGGTGAAGTTTCTGATAGCATGGTGGGAATGGTATGGCACGTCTTAGTGATCTAAGTCTAGGCCCTCAATGAGTGAGCCTGGGATCTCTCAATGGATGACCTTCACCAAATTAAAAGGGGTCGGTCGCTGCGGCGAACAGTTACACCGGGAGACTCACCCTGGACGCCGACGACAAAAAGCACAGCCCAGGTCTGAAGGAAAAATAAGTTTCCAAAAGTCTATTAGTCTGATTGACTGTCTTGAACCGGAGAGTGTATTGTTCTCTTACTTCTTACAAGTGGGGTTGTCTCAAATGTTCAATGTCATCGGCTTGTGTCAGAACAAGTCCACATGTCATTGACCGTACCAACCATAAAAGTGCGAACAATCTCTTCACAGTGTGCACATGTATAGTAGGCGTAGTAAATTAAACAATATATATAACTATATTATAGTAATTACTATATATACTGTATAGACTCTACGGACTATAATTAGTGAGTGCATGTTAGTGCGATTCTCACTGCCACCCCCAACAAAATAAGTGTAAAATGGTCGAACCACAGCGCCGTCCCGTCTCTCATGGATCGTTTCTCCGTCTCGAACCACGGAGCCAGGTGGCTCCCCCCCGATCGTCGCCCACGATGATGATGGGCTCAGACTTGCTGAAGGCCACATGCGTCAGCTTGGCGCGCTTCACCACCTGCGAGTCGTTGTGGAACCAAACGCGGTCACGTTGGCAGTCGCGACGAGGATGGTGGTGACGGACATGCAAGGACGGCAATTGGGAACGGCAGTCCGAACCCCACATATGATGTGCTCGCAACTCAAGAACTGTGGTAACGAGCTCAGGCTTCAAGACACCTAGCAGCTGCTTGTCTATCGGGATTATTACGGTGCACTAATGACCGAAATCATGATATTCAGCCAATCTGTGAATCTGTTTGGCCCGGTCATACCTGATCTCACCTCCCGCAACTTGGGGCTCGGCGTCAAGTGGAGCAACAGGAAGGCCCCGCCTTCTGAGCGCAAATGTGATCATTTCGATTCACTGAGAGGTCCTAGGTCTGGCGATCCCGCGATGACAGGTGTCAAGCAACTTCTCTCCGTTGGCGAAGAAAAGGCTCCAAAGGAATCAAAGGAGTACTATGATGTACCATGGCATTGGTCAAAGGGGAAGGTCCTCTGAAAACCTGGGGGGTCCTGGGTGCTATTCTTCAAGCCTGGCCGGGGCCATCTGTGTATCCAGCTTCGGATAGCTTCGGCATGATCGAATCTTGCAAGAATTCCTTCGTTTTATAGCTTCATCATGCTTACATATTGCTGGCCTTTTCAACGTCACCTCCCACCACTCCACCCGTCCCACGGTGCCTTTCACCCGACCTTCTTCCTCCAAGGTGCATAGACGTGCACGACGCCACTGGTGGATCCCCCAGCACCATCGGAGGTGATCGCTGCGAAGGTGGTCGAGCTATAGGGCGCCCAAGCGACGTCTCCAATGGCCTGGTGTAGCGGTGAAAGCGGGCGGAGCCTCTCGGTCATCAGGCGAGGGAACAAGCACCTTGTGGGTTCCTGGTCTGGAAGTATACCAAGAGCTACAAGACCATACTGATCAGTGCCCACGCTTCTAAGGCAACCAGGGATACAGGATATCCGACACCCTTTCAGTTTCTACCGCACCTGTGAGAGATCGAACGACAGGATGGCGAAGCGATTCCTCGGTTTCCACCGCCACGTGGAATCGCGCCAAAGTGAGTGAAGAAGCCACACCCGTGGGGTTCAAGAATCCATTTTGAGGCACACCTATGCATCCTATGCTGGTATCTGGATGTCAACATCTGGACAGCAGGATGTCAACATCTGTTGGGCCTTGAATTGCTCAAGCGTCCAATGTATCTTGAATCGCTCCACTGCAACCACTCACAGCCAAAACATCCATACCATGATGGGCATGTTCAAAGATGTCGAACTACTGGTTTGTCGGCTTGACTAAGTGTTAGCACAAAAAGGGAGGTGTTCAAGAAACACATATAATTCTTGGCATCCATAAGACAAATACCGCCCAGCTGAATGCAATTTTTGGATACAGTACTTTTGGTGGAAGAAGTTGTTCGAGACAATACTTCTCATCACCATTGCCACCACCATCTAAGAAAGGTCACAACACCTACTGGAACATACTACCAGTGCACTTCTACTGATTCTACTGGTTCCACTTCAAATTCTCTGGGAGCCTTCCCACCCCTACAAATCCAACGGCGCATCCTCAACGAAAGACACCTCCCAAACATGCAAACGCCGCCTAAGTCTAGCACGAGCATCTCATGATTCCACAGCTTCACGGTCCAATCTGCGCTGGCCGAGATGAAAATCTTCTCGTGGAACCTCGCTGATCAAGTCCACACAAATCCGCATTCGGCTGCAACACATATTGGATTCAAGTTCAACCCTTGTGTTTTTCTTTTTGGGGTGATCTCATCTTGAACGGTTGAGGAACAATTTATTCCACAGATTCAGACTGGTCTCTCACATTATATACTCCAAATAAAGGTCATAGGTCCATCTTCACAGTTCCACGCCATAACCAGAATCATCCGCTGACCTTGCCAGTTGGAAAATCACCGGTTCACCTTACTTCCACAACACTGCTGGATCTGAGTTGGAAAAAACAATATAAACCAATCACCCAAAAAAAAAAGATTGTTCCATAATATGTTTCCATATGAGCAGTGTTCTTTGGGTCACTTAGTCAAGCTGGTGAGGATCGCTTCGGAACCAGCGGTTCACGGGTTCCGTCCCCTCCGACGGAGATCCGCCGAAAAACGGGTTCCAACGCACGCTGTACACCGCCATGGTGTGGCCCTCATAGGTCTCCAAGTATTGCCCACTGAAGGCCTGCGCTGACGCATCGCTCTAGGTGCAAACCAGCCGTGAGACTCCAAACCTGCAGCAACTCCAAACCTATACAAACTGCGTACAGTAAACGGGTGCTTCAGGAAATAGAGGGATTGACATGCACTGCACTTGTTCACAGGTTTGTACTTGTACGTTCTTAACTGGGTAGAGGACCCGGAAACATCAGCATCATCATTCAATGCCTGGGGTGACAATGAAACACATGGAACAGGGCTACACGTGAGGATCCTTTAGGGCTTGTGTCCTCCACCGCAAGCGGCCTAAGCACGAGCTTCCCCTGTAGAGTGGTCAAACCTTGAAGCTGCATGTTCTTAGATGCAGTTGTTGGGCTTCCGATCGCAGCACCAACACCGCAAAGGTTCGAACACCAAACAAAAGAACTCACACCCACCAGGAAAGGAGCCTTGGATGTGCGAATCTTGATCCTATTGATCTGCAGAGTTGGTCGTTTCACTCAGTCAGAAACATCACAGAATCCCAGGCCCATCCTTGGAGCACTTGTGGATGCGACCCTCTTCCGTGCCAACCAGGAAAAGATGGCTGTGGTCACTGTGCGAGTGGAAGTCAAAGCCTTGGTCGGCGTAGCGATCCGACCCTCGTGGCGTGATGAGTTTGGCCCCACCTGGCGACCATTCGGTGACGACCGATCAAGGGAGCCCTGGGTGCTTTGCACACTCACCCATGGGACGCAAATCAAGCATGTTCACACGAAGATGGAAGGGCGCGGCGTGTTCTATATTTACATATTTACTCATATTATATTTACATGCAGTATATGCTTTGTTGAGCCATCATTATATGAGAAGCCCACCTTGACGAGCCATCAAGTCAAAAAATGACTGGCCATTGCCGTGGCAGGTGGCAGTGGGCAACCCTGTACATGTGGCTTAACCCACTCAAAAATGTAGGTACAATGTAGGTTCTGAACAAGGACCTCGACTTTGGATCAATTGGTCAAAACCTCGGCTCTTCAGTGAAAACCTCAGGTTTTTGGACATTTATGTACATGCATTTTCTATGTCCCACCCAGGTGTTCCGTCATTATGCCAAAACTTTGTTTTGTTTAGGTGACCCATTATGATATTGGGACACCATTTAAAAAGAACACATGCATGCATGTTTAAGGCTGTGAACAGCGAACCCGTAGAAAACCCGTGGCAAACCATGGCGAACCGGTGCATACCCGTAAAAACAAGGGTTCTCAGAAAAACTCGGCTTTTGCCAACCCGTAGAAAACTCGCAGAAACCAATAGAAAATCTATGGGTTCTGAGGGCTTGCCCAGCTTTGCAGTGAATCTCTGTGGCTGGCACGCTCATCAACATGTTCAAAACAAAATACATGTTAGTCTTGTGCTATGTCAACAACATGCGAAACTATCTGAAAATCAACACCCTGGGTTTTCTGGCAAAACCTAGTCTTTTCACATGGTACGAGCACCTACGTTTTGATAGGTGTTTGTTTCTTCAGGGGAAATGTATAGCATCTTATATCGAAGAATGGCTGGAATTCCCTCTGCTGATGCAAGAGTGGTTGCATGACAAACAGCCTGTAGCAACAGTAACATCGACGATACATGCGACCCGCAACATTCAAAATGGGTAAGTTAGTAGCCTTTCTTGTCCAAATCGCTTCTTCAAGGCCCTTCTTCAAGTAATTATAGACGCTATCAAATGGGGTTGGCTCTGGCCCACCCAAAAACTCTGGCCAAACTCTGGCGGATCCTGGCGGCAAACCACAGCAAACCATCCTGCAGTCACATGTTCACATCCAGACAAGTGGCAAAGGCCACCTGCAAGCCCGGCCAAGGAAGTCTCGTCCTCTTCGCCAGTGCCAGGGCTGCCCATGAGCTTCCTCGGAAGCTCAGCCGGCGGAAAGCGACTGCGTCTTGGCGGGGGCCCTGGCTTGGATGAGAACTGTTCGTGCTGATCTGATGGTTTAAAACCCACCTGCTGCATATGACGTCTCACCACAACAGCAACAGGAAGCAACGGGATTTCTTCATGAACCCAAAAATGGGCGTCGTGTGATTCGTGTGGTCAAACAAAGGTACTTCGCACCTGGTTCGAAGGTGGTCTAAGAATTGCACCCCAGAACCCATCGAACTCTCTATCTTTATGTTGGGCGATGGCAGCCATACATGGCCAACCATCAAATATTCTTTTTGTGAAAAAAAAGTGAAAAAAAAAAGCAAAATAAAAGCAAATGAAAATGCAAAAACAAAGCAAAAACAAAGCAAAAAGCAAAAACAAAGCAAAACAAAAAGCGAAAAAGAGCGAAAAAACAGCGAAAAAAATGCGAAAATAAAGCGACAAAAAAGTGAAAAAAGCGACAAATATGTTTTTGCTGTACCCTCCAAGGAAAAAAGCGCAAAAAAAAAAAAAAAAAAACGAAAAAAAATGCGAAAATAAAGCGAAAAAAAAGTGAAAAACAAGCGACAAATACGCACAGCTACATTTTTTTGCTTTTTTGTTTGCTTTGCCTTTTGCTTTTTTTTTGCTTTGTTTTTGCTTTATAAAACTATTTTGGCTCCTTGTATCTATGGCTGGCGTGCCCGACATAACTCTATCTAAAGCTCTGTTGTTCTATGTGTTTTCCTTGCGGGTCTCTCCCTGTTGACTTCAAAGAATGCAACGATAGAGAGCTGTCTACTCATCCACAGAGCTTTTTTCAGGGAGTCAGGGCCCAACAGGCTCAACTCTTCCAAGCGACAGTTCCATGACTTCTTCACTCTCCAACTTGTTCTTGAGCAAGAACCTCAGTGTCATAGAGTCATGGACCGTGAGGGAGCAAAAATAGCGGATGAGCAAGTCTCCCCACGGATGAAACCTCACACATCCTCACACCACTTTGATTAGTTTCTTCTTTCAAATCTCTTTTTGAACAGTGGACCTGAGTCCTGCTCCATCCCACCAGCAAAAGTCGGGTTTGTAAAGGACGCGACTCTTGGATGGCTGGGGCCAGCGCCAGTTCGAGACACGGCCATCTGAGGAGATCGAGTAGAAGTTCAAAGCTCCAGTGGACTCATCGTTGTTCCATCGGACCTACGCCGAGGTCCGAGGAGCTACACATCTGAACTTCAAAGCAAGCAGGATGTTCGCGGTTCCCGGCCAAATCCCAAACGTCTGACCCTGATCTCCATACACTGAATCCAACATGATTGAAGTGCAAGAAACCCCCACTTCCGCTTGCAATGATGTTCCTAGGTCCTAAGGTTCTCCACAACCTACTACAGTATTCACTAGTTAGTTTGGTTTATGTATATTATTAAAGCTCATGAACGTTCTGCATCTCTAGCTACCTGACACGGAAAATACGCAGTGGTTCCATGTTCCCCACCGGTCCATGGCGGCCTCCCAAACGGGATCCGTGTGCTTGTTGGTTCGGACAGTGCTCTGATAGATTGGCTTCTTCGTTCTGGCCCTCACATCGTAGACTAAAACGGTGCCATCATACAAGCCCACGGCCAGGACCGCAGGGTGTGCAGGATGCCAATCCTCAAAGAAGGAATGCTTGAGGTCAGTGATGCTCCGCCCATTCAAATACTTGTGGGTTTCCATCAGTTTCAATTCCACATGTCAAATCTTGTCTGCTGCAATGAAGATTCCAAGGAGGAGGCGACAATTATGTCTCAGGATCAACCGTCTTGGCACGTCGCAAGCAATGTGCGAAGTCATGTCGAGTCTCGAGTGAGCAAACGCCCGCGTCGGTGTTGAAGACATACTCTGGGAAACGTGTGTTCTTCAGAGAGTAGCAACCTCAGCAGCTCGCAGCTCGCAAATTCCAACGTCCAACGCTCGCAAAACTTCTGTGGCTCTTGGGCTGGACCGACGGTCATGACATGGTCGAGTCATGTGCCACAAATACGGGATGTCTATTGCCCGCATGTGGTTGACAGTGTCCATACACCACCCCGTCTGTGGGTTGTGGAACAATTAGTTCTCACTGCGCCAATTGCCAGGTGGCTTTGTGGATGGCATTGCTCCTGTTTCCCTTTTATGTATAAGATATTATAAGATCTTTTACACCCGGGAAGATTAACATGGAATCTTAAAATGGACCTTCGGAAGACTACTTTCCTCTACAACCCAGTGGTTTTCAGGTTCTATGTTAATCTTCCCGGGTGTAGAGGTGCCCATGGGTCTCATTTGCACCTGGCGACCGGCCGCCGTTCGCTTCTGCTCTCCGCGCTTCCCCGCCGGGGCGCAAATGACACCCGTGCCTTGCCGCATGAAGTCGTAGGATCCGAAGCCCACGGCGCACAGATCGCTATAGTGAGGATTCCATTTGATACAAGTGACCTAGAAGGCGGTGGATCACGCTTAGGTGTTTTTGGAAGGCGGAGTGGATCGGACGTGGACCTTCCGGAACCCAAGGAAGGTCGAAACGGGTACCCTGCGACCTAAGGTGGAAAGCCTGTGGCGGTACCACTACCACCCCATTCCCAGCACAGTTGCCTGTTTCTTCTTGGCCTTTTCCGAGGAGAAGCGCCACAAGGGCAGCAGGGTGCCCTCACCTGAGAAGGATTCGCTGTGACGGCTGTGCACCACTGGAATAGAAAAGAACCAAAGAGCATACGACCCATGACGAAGGAAAGTTCGAAAGGTGTTGGAATTGGATCCTGTATTGACAGCACCAATGCCTGGACAAACAAGCACCAATGCCTGGATGGGAGCACCAATGCCTGGACTGTTCTCATGAATCATGTGATTGGATGCCCAAGCTGCCGTCACGAAATTCATCACTGCGGTCCTCCCAGTATTTGAAGTCATGGTAGACCTCGTTCTCTGCATTCTGGTTCACCATGCCTGGGCAGATTCTGAATGGCTGATTTGCACATCTTACTTCCTACGACCTGCCCCAGAATTTCTGGCCCAAAAACCAAATATATATATATATATACATGGGTCAAGCCAGCCAAGAGCCGATTGAACATTACACATGTTTTTCCAACCGGGACGGGCTAAACAAGTTTCATCATCCGTTTGGGAAGGATAAGTTAGTTCAAAATGGCAATGCTTCACCAGGTCCATCAACATGAGCCAGGTCCATTAAGAGGGAGTATCCACCTTACGGCAAGGACTTCCAGGCCCCACACACCAAAATGATAAAGACAAACATATAAATTAAACATATGTTAACAACATTAACAACTATGAAGCAAGTCAATTCGGTCCAGCGGAATCGTGGTGAGATGGAACGCCAAAGCGATTTTTCCACACCACTTTGTCTTGTTGGAAGCAAGACGCTTCTTTTAAGGCCCTTGTTCAGCACCTGCTTTCGAGACACGTTCCATGATCTTAATGGAGAGCTTCATGTTTTCCGAGTAGGTCGGATCCGAGTCTGACTTCTTCTTCTTTTCCGACATGTCGTCGTAAGCGGACTTTCCGCTCTTCTTATCCTGAGAATGGACGAGCTCGCTTCACAGGAAGTTCGATCCTGACCCTGCGTTTCGGGACCCTGCCACTGTGGTCGCTGTCCAAAACATCGATCTTCCTCAAAATCGACGACTTGAAGTAGGTTTTAAAGGTTTCAAGCTGGTTTGAGCTCTTCAGGAGCAATCGCTCTTGTTGGTGTCGCCGGTGTCGGGCCGTTGGAACGTCTGCGGGTTCGTCGATTCCGCAACTCAGCCGAGCGACATCTTTCTCCTTTTCCTGCGAAATGGCGAAGGATGGGCTATGAAAAAGCAACACATGGCCAATGAGCTTCACTGCCTTCCAGGGGTCTACGTTGAGTTTGTGCTTCTCTCTCCTCAGGGTCTCTTTTGCTTAATTGTTTTCTTACTCTTGAGGTTCAGGCTGGGGCGTAAATGGTGCCCTTGCAAATGATCAAGCGGCTCATGATGCTGTAAATGGTATGCCGGACGTTATCCTGCACCACAACAAAACTTCATAAAAGGGGAGTTCCCTTTCCTAGCACCAGGGAATGGAGCCTTACCTGCTGCTGCTAGTTTGTGTGTGCGCATTGCGCATCCCTGGACGCAAACTATGCCAAACTCCACTGTGAAAGTGGAGTGCTTTGTTCCAGGCATTTGAAGTACTTGCGGTGTCTTCAATCCATATCAGCTCGGGTAGGACTTTGTGGATTCTCAAAGTATGCATTGCGCAACGCCAGCAACTGTAGAAGCCTGCCTCATCATTTGACGCTTTCCTTCTATAGCCTTTACTTTTTGGTCTAGGTCCCTCTCTGGGGATGTTCTTTGTCGAAATATTGTCCGAGTCTTGAACCCTTTGGCCATTTAGCCTTCCTGCCCGAAGGACGCGCCCATACTGATTCCCGCCTTGGCAGCTTCGATTTCCGCCATGTACTGATCAAAAATCTCCCATTGCGTGACCGTGCCATAGTTCCTGCCATCATGGCTGGACAATTGATCTAAAATGGCATGTGACCCGGTGACCCATAATGAGAATCCAATCATGACAGGAAACAGCCCCACATCGACAGGAAACGAGCAAACCAGCACTGTCGCTGCCAAACACGTGCATTATGAGTGGATATGCGTGCATGGACAGCCACTCTCTCTTGGAATTGCTTCGCTCCCGGCCCTATACCGAACGCCTGGTCGTGGGCGGAGGCTCGGTCGTCCAGGAGCGTTCACGCAGGATGGCGTTCTTCGATTGCGCGGCACGTTCGCTGAAGTTGAACTGATTGCCTTGGCACGTTCGCCAACTCGGACTGTTGGGTGTAGTTGAACTCCCTTGCTGGAACTGTGCCCACAGCGGATATAGGAACTGGTGCAGCGGGTGCTCCCTAACAATCTGGAACAAGCTGGGGTGCGGGAGAAGAACATCTGAAAGATTGATGTGGTGACTGACTATAGAGGACACCATTTAGCAATTGCGATGAGCAAATCCATGGAGATGGTCACTTGCCTATTGGTTTCTCTGTATTCGGTTGTGGTTTGACATCCAAAAAGTATGATTGTTCGTTCTTGCTTCTCGCCCGCCGCAACAAAAGATATACCTCACGCATTTTGACTGAATGGTCCTGGAAATCTTCCAAAGACCCCTGGACCCTCAAAATGTGGACCAACAAAATGCCACGAACAGGATGGAGTTCCCACGAACAGGTCTGGGACCAAATCTTTGTCATTCTTTGTCCCTGCCGGGACTCTGCTCCAGGCACGAGACTTATTGTGTCCAGTCCAGCTTTGTTGGACAATGGCTCCTTCTAGGCCTTATATGTTCTTGATCAAACACATGTTGAACCACACAGCTGTCTGCAACAGGAAGTGGTATAGGATGCAATTCCTACCCCGACAGCAAGGTCTTGAAGGTCTCGACGCCTAAATAAGGACCGGCGGACCGGCGGACCAGCAAATCTTTCGAGCCTCTCCGCCCCCAAGCTCCCGGTGGCATCACATGCATGCCCATGGACGCAAGGGATTCTTAACCGGAATCTCCTGCGTGCCGGAGAGAAACAAAACAAAATCAAAGTTTAGGGTGTGGTACATGAGGATTGCAAAGGTTCTGGACATGCTGAGGTTGGTAAATAGAGCACAACTTTCGGGCAAACAACTCCTTTACTCCGAATTCGCCGCACAAATACCGCTCCAGAAGGAACACAAAACAAGACCGATAACTGCGATCCATGAGCACCTTCCCAAGCTGCCACGTGGCCAGGGGTTGCTTTCAACGACATTAAAAAAGGTTGATGCATCCTAGGCGTCGCAGACATGGCCTTATCATGCCTTATCTTCTCAAACCATGCTTGCTGGTCGGCTTCTGTGCTCGATTTGGTTTTTGAGCACACGCATGCCCAGCAATCGACCAAAGGATTGGTGTCAGGGGCTCCTTCTCGTTCTCTGGCGGGTCGAAATCCTCGTCGATGGCTTCAGCCTCTTCCTTCTCATTCTGCTCCGCTTCTTTCTTCTCAAAGACCTGGTCCCCATGCCCAGATCAGATCATGATCAAAGTGCCAATGACATGCCAACAATGCCACGGAACCGGACGTCCATGCAGCTGCCAACGTGAATGATCGGCCTTGAATCTGTCAAGGTGGCCTTCGAGGTGTGACTAGCCTGCAACCTCCACTGCAGCACTAGCAGTCCCTAAACTTTCAAAAGCAAAAGCTTTGGCAGCCCTGGTGCAGAAAGCACACAATGACAAAACTGTTGCTCTAATTAATTACATTCAATTACCATGATGCAAAACTCCTACGAACTGGTTTATCTCTTACCTGGCACTCACCTGATACCTGATCAAAGCCCAGACTATCAGGCCTCGATCTGATCCATGGCCTCTGGGCTTTCCTTTAATAAGATCAGGCCGTCCATTGCAAAATGCATGACCACTTGATCTACCTGCAAAACGGGGTTCGCCGGAGACGGCCCGAGTGAGAGTGATCGCCCTAAGATTTGAAAATGGATGAAAATGGCCACATCCGGCCAAGGGGCCACATCACGTAGCAATTCTAGAAGCTACGAACGGAGCAAGGACGCTACTTGTAGCTCCTGGCATTGCTACTAGGAACAAGAAGATACTAGTAGTAACAAAAGGGCATCGCTACCAACGGAGCATGCATCCCAAAAGAAACACCTTGGTTCGATCTTCGAATATATACATGTCCCTAACTCGGATTTGGGGGGATCTCCAGGCACGTGGTCGTGTCTGAGCACGGACAGCTCGGTGAAGTATCTTCAGGGAGGTTTCCGCCTGCTCATCCACCTTGAAGCACTTCTCTTTGAAGGAGTACTGCCTCAGCCGTCATTTTTTTGAACAGGACCAGGTCATTGAGTTTGCTACTGAATAAATTGCTGAGTGATGGGAACGCATGTAATTAGAATTAAAGACTATTCAAGCTGATGTTGCGAGTTGCGAAACCTCTTGTGCAAAGTATATATCATGGAAATATCAATCGACGGCGCAGAAACATAGAACTTGACCAAATATATAACCTGGGGTGATTCGGGAGGGCTGCAATCCTAAAAGATCGAAAAGCAAGAAACAACAGTTTCCTGTGTCAAGCCCTGTTCCTTTGGATTTTTCCATTGGCGCAGGATGAAGACCCCAACACACGAGTTGTGCCCGCATGCTTAACCTAGGACACTGAAAGGAGCTATATGATGTAGGTGAACTATGCTCTGATTCCAAACCGGGCAGAGCTATTTCTGATTCTAAACCGGACTTGCCCTCCGCAAGTCCAAGAATCGGACTTGCCCACCCCAAGAAGTGCGTTCACATGATGCGACTCGAGAACATCGGAACCAAATGGAACCAAATGGAACCAGGAAAACCGACGGGGCCCAGGGGTCCTTCCCAACCTACCATTGCAGCAGCCGAAAGAGTCGGGCCTGTCAGTTCACATGCAGGCCACCGGTTTTGTGCAATGATTTTGTGCAATGAATAAGAGCCCTCACACACACACAAACAAAACAAACAAACATAATTACTGAAAAACAAGCTGATTCAACACACAAAGACACACAGGACTGCCGCTGTTCTGCTAGGGCTAGGGAGGGTGAACTAACCCGCAAGCGCGTCTTTCGAACTTGGGCCGAGTTGCGTGGTGTTATGCGCTGCCCGTGGGTTCAGCGGATAAAGCACTCGAGGTGGAACTTCCTTCTCCAAGTCCTGGCTTTTCAACATGTCGAGGTGATGCAAAGTTATGCCTCCTTGGAAATTGGTAATAGAACTTGGTGGTTCCCCAAGTGCCAGCATATCATGGCGCTATGTGAAGATTTCACAGATGGGATGCCTACATATGCACACTTTGGCCCCATCCCCATGGACGGGGCGACGTTGCCCAGAAGAGGACGGCCGACAGCAAACTCCTGGCCTCAAGAACCTGCCGGAACACTAAATGTCACCTACCCAAGCCACGGGGGCTCTTTAGTTTCCAGGAGTAGACTCTGGCCGCATTGTCCTTCAGCCCAGAAGGATTTTAAATTCACCCTGAGGCATTGCAATTTTGTGTCATTGCTGTTCTTTGCTTCTCTTCGTCAATGGGCAACCCAAGAAAACCACTCTATAGTTCCCTTTTGGTGATTCACCACCGCTTCCATCTTCCAGGCCAGGTACCCAGCTCACGGACCGTTCCGTAACCCGAACCGATGACAGTAAACGAGGCAGTCGCACATCATTCCCCCGAGGGTTATGAGTCAGTCAGTCATTTGATGGCATGGCATGCTTCCTCTGTAGGTGCAATCTGTCATGGCATGCACACTCCAATTGCTTTGTCTGCAGGTGCGCATCCTCATTGTGAGTGGCTAGAAGAAGGATTCACACAGCATGTTCGACCATTTGGTACAAAAAAGATATCGGGTCAGGCGCAAAAGGCCGTAATCGTTCCCTCTGGTGAGCCACGATCACTAATTACACTTCCTGGAACATTCATGCAAGTGAAACCACCTGTTTGTCGAGGAAAATGGTGATTCAAGGGGCCATGCCATCCACTTCCATGATGATTTGGGGGAGGCCTAGTGCATCTGAAAAAATGACCGGGTGCTTGTCCGTCTCCATTCGTCGCGTCGGTCGGATATCGCTCCTCTGGAGAGATGTTGAGCTGATCATCTGGCCGCACCTGCCCGCCGAACGTCTCTTGGTGTCTGAGCGACGTCGACTGGGGTGGTGCCCCAGGAAAAGCCAGGAACAGCATCATACAGTATCTATTTCCATCATTCCGGATCCGTCTGACAGAAATCCTTGCACACTTTCGCCTTCAAACATCGTCACACCTCTACATATACCAAAAACATCAACATGATACCCAACACCAAGGAGAGAGGGGAAAAAGAGTGAGATGCCTATGTACTAATACTTGTTCAGATTTGACAAGCATCTAGCAGTCGAGGAGGTTGTTTTCTTTTTCATCAACTCTCAACCGTAACTTCTGCTCAAACGGAAAACAACGTCCAGTGTGAATCTTGCAAGACTCTTCGAGCCTGCTTTGGATCTATATACTATAGCATATATTATTACATAATGCTATATAGTTGACATATTGTATAAGTTACAGTACACCTATCAACTCAAACTTTATCAAAATACACCAATGATTTCCAGTCGTTCCTGAAGTGTTCTGCCTTTTCTTGAGATTGTCATGTCCCGTTCTGTCCCATTCACCTTCACGATCACAGGCATGTCATAGTCATCACCAAGCTCCTCTGCAGCATCGCCACCTGCGACTCGCACGGCCGAAATGTCATATTCAGTCAGGACCCTCAACCAAACTCAGACTGAGTATATAAACAATATGCCCTCGATTCACTTCAGGATTTCAGCCAAATGGTGCCGAGCAGGGTATGCAGCTTTGTCGAGGGCAAACTTTCTGGTCCACCCTCTACAGTTGAATGTTGATAAAGAACTTATGGCACCCTTTCTGCAAAGGATACCCTTGTCTTCGCCGTCCATGTAGTTTCCCTCTCTCCCTGGAAATTGAAGAACATGCGGATGCAAACATGGGATACATATGCAGCAAAGAAAACAATGTAGGCATAAAACCGGGTTGCCCAAACTAGGATGTTGGTACCAGTCTTCCCAGGCACTCCAAGGGCTCCAAAAATGTCTCCGAGGTTACTGAAACGCCCAGCCGCAAAAGAACAAAACCCCAAATCCAAAGCTGTTCTAGATTCTAGAAGGGGGCCACACATAGAGATCGTCCTCGAAGCCATCCACAGTGTGCCCAACTTTGCCCGTGCCCCTCATCCAAAGAAGAACATGACATCCAACAGTTTTCCAAGTTACTGGGAACAAGAAGCTACAAGTAACAAAGGGCATCGATACTAGGAGCAAGGACGCTACTGGTAGCTCCTGGCCGTACTACTAGTAACAAGAAGCTACTCTTCTCCAATCGGCGATCCGCCCGGCCTTCAGGCGGCGGTGTCTGCCGCTGCGCGGCATTCTTGGGCGCAGCGTTCTTGGGCGGCATGGTGATCACCCGACGCACTTCCGCGCGGCCGGGATGCGGGACCGGGGGGGCGGATGGTCAAGTCGACTGTCTAAGCCACGTGCGGGCGGGTTGGGCGCACGACGGGAGGGCACTGCGAGTGTCAGTCATTCAAGTCCATCGATGAGAGTAAACACATGCTTCAGAAATCAGCTTGCATAGTTTTTTTTTAAAAAAAAAAAAACTATATAACATACAGCAAACTAACCCAAACCCATGAAACTTTACATCTGGGAGAGCCTACAAAAATTGTGTCGGTTTAAAATTTAAAGATACATTTAGAGGTCGTCTTGCAAGCCTTTGAGGAAGGGTTTCCAACACACATGGACACGTCTTCCTTGGCGCCATCGACAACTCGGCAACTGCTCAAGGCCATCCCAAGGGCTGACTAGGCAAAGCCTCTAGATTTCAGGCTGTCTTAAAAAGCACCTGGTTGAAAGTGAACAACAATTAAAACAAAAGCCTCACAGTGACAAGGAAATGGCCTCGCTATCAACAAGCACAAACACTTTGACAAGCTATAGAAGTCCCCTTCGTGCTTCTTGCAAACCAACATCACAGTCCCACTGTAGTGGTCCGTTTGCTTCACCGAAGTCCTCCCGGAGATGTCCTCTCTTCCTGTGGGTCCCCCAACTGGTTGTTTGGCCCCCGAGCCCAAGCTCTGCACGCGCGGTTTGGCGCGGTGCACGCGTGCGAGGTTCGGCCCCCAGGCGCGGCCCGAGGGCCCCCAGGTCGCCTCCACTTGGTCGGGATTCTTGTCTGGATGCCATTTGATCTGCCAAGCCTTCAAAGCCTGGCCGAACGCCCGACGGAGTCTCGGGTTGTGTTGCGTCCGTTGACCAATGGAATGTCAGCTCACAGGCTCACCATCCATCAGGGCCTTCTTCCGGTCGGCAACAGAGGCACCTCTCTTGATCATCTCCTTTGCGACAAACGCAGGATATCAATGCTGATACTGTATCAATGTCATACACTTCCTGGATCTTCGTGGAATCTAAGCAAGAAGTAGCAAAAACAACACGACATACTAAAGTGTTTTAACACATCCACACTGTTGAAAAAGAACCACATGGCCGCAACCAATCAAAGGATCTGTCCTCCATCTCCTGCACGACACTGCACTTCATGGCCTTTGAAGCAGGGTGCAGTTTCCTCGTTTGGACTCAATCATTTCATTTAGGTGACATCATGTCATACGCACGTATAGGTATAGCGTGTGTCTTGTGCTGCCACTTGGTGGAACAAATGCTTGCTTGTGAGGGCTATCTGCTATCTGGATCGAGCAGACTCTCCTCAGGATCTTGCTGTCAAAACGTGCACTGCATTGCGAAAAGAATCCATGGAAGGTCAATACGTCCGGCGAATGCTCGGCTCCTGCCCCCACATTGCTCTCATTTGCATGTTGCACATGTATTGCGCATGTCTACTTCCGACATCAAGCATCCTGGAACCACTTACACAGCTTGCCACCCATTTCTCCCTCAAGAAGCGCGTGCCACTCCATGTTAACCTTGCGGGTGCTGAACTTCAATACCGCAGGTGCTGAACATCCCTTGCGGCCCCCGACAAAAGCAATCTGCTCCTGCACCGGGTGACGAACAGCGACACCGATCGCCGTGGCTGGAGGGAGGTCTCCCTATTGAAAATACACTCCGGTATGTTGTGGTCGTTTTCGTTTCACATGGAGTCCATGGTCTCAAATCCCTGAGATATTGCGGAGAGCTGCGCTCTCCAGTCAAACTGGCAAGTTCAGGGCGTGCTCTTGCAATTGGTTTTGCCAGGTCCAGGCCGCGAACATCGATGAAAAGCCAGTAGTGTCACTCTGATGCTTTCCTTCCTGGAGCTGTGCGATGCCTTACGCATCCTTACGCTCACCCTACCGCCACGGTGCCCGGGTTGGGCAGCATGCCACTGGCGAATGTCCTCCATCGTGGCATGCAAGCTGGGTGGCACCTGAGTTTGCACAAATACATCAACCATAACTCCTTGCAATGGAGTTACACAACCAATATAAACCAATCATGTTTTAATGATTCAGCACTGCTCCAACATTGAATCTGATGGCTTGTGACCGCTTGTTCACCCGTTCATCCTCGGCATCCGTACAAGCCCCGCTGCAGCACCCTCTGGGCTTGGCCCAGTGGACCCTGCGGCAGCTTGTGCCTGCTGGGCAGCAGCCTGTGCCTGTTGGGCTTGCTGATCAATGGAAAGATTCACTTGTCATTCTTCATTTCAGGCCGGTGATAAGACGTCGTGCTGTGTTTATGGGCACCACTCACTCAGGCGAAGGAGAAGTTCTCACGCATTGGCATAGATGGAAATGGACAGGTTCATGAATAAATGACTGAATGGACGAGTGGATCTAAAAGGATCATCGAACAAACTCATCTTACAGGCAACAAATATTTATTTTCCATGATGCCATGTGGCCGGTTTGTCTTGTTCATAGATATGAGCTGACTCTTTGTTGCGACCGCGACCATGAGTCTAACGCTGAAATACAGTATATAGTAGGCTGCTGGGGTCATTGGCGCTGACACCTGGTTCACAACATTTCGGCTTTCTGAGGATTATGACGAACAATGAGTATGGTATTCAACAAAATGTACAACACAACAAAATAACATACTGTAATGCACAAAATCACAAAAAATATATATATATTATATATTACAACAACATTATATGATATAATATATAATAACAATGTCATGTTACCGCCCCCGAGGATGTTGCCTGTTGCTGTTGCTGCTGCTGGTACCAGGCCTCGGCTCAAACACGAGAAAACCTTCATCGAACGTCCATGAACAGAACTTTATTGCGTAGGATCGCAATCCAAGGGGCAGGAAATAGAGCTTCACAGCTTGAACACAGACCGGTAATGACAAACATGGTATGGGGCCGCAAGGGAACAAAAGCAAGCCAACATTTTGAACGTAAAAGCATTTAAAGTCATGTGGAACAAATAGGGTTGAGTCGTTTGACTCATCCGAGCCGGCCACAAAGTGTTGAGCATAGATCTGGTCCCACCTCAGCTAGGGCTATAATCTGGCCGCTTGGAGTGACAATGCCAGCTTTCTGAGCACCCCTGACCGAAAAACATAAAAAACTATGTTTTTGTGAACATTGTGTGGCAAACATTCTGGTACTGGATGCAAACAGCCTCAGCTCCATAACTGTGCTTGAACACACTACCTTCAGTCATCAAATACACAGTATAGCTGCTAGCATAGCACTACACAATGTTTTGAGGCGATAGCTTTGAAAAAATAAACTTGGTGGCATTCCATGCCGCGTGAAACCTCTTGCTAAGCATGTGCCACGGTGCCACTAAAGCAAAGGCTCTCAGTTGGTTGGTCTTTGTGGGCATCATTGTCCATCATTTTCAGTTCATCCAGCCTTCGTTCTCTAGATTAGTCTGCCGTGTTTACCCCACGTTGCACCCACATGCTTCTGCCATGCCTCGCGACATGCAACAACTGATTGGCATGTTTGTTGCTTCCTCCTTCTGACCACATGGGCAAGAATTACAGTACAGTATCAAATAAATATAAATAAACACTAGCGGCACTAGCGGCTTCAGTCAAAAGATGCGAGAAGGCTCCAAGACTCCAGGCTGTTCTCTTTGTTGTCTGGCTTGCTCTTCTGCTTGCTGCATCTGTCGCAAAGCATCCTGCAACGCTGTGACCCGTTGCGCCCGCGTGCTTCAGCGCTGAAATCGGGTCCCTCCCGGTGAAACACACCTGGAATCAGATCTCGCCACGACCGGTCCTGTTCAACACAGAAGCGCAATAAGGCGCACCAGGTACTAGGATGTACTAGGTACATTCCACAAAAAACTCCCACTTTGTTAATTAAACGTCTCGAAGTCTCGAGATGGAACTTGCGGAGGATCTGGTTCAAAGGCAGGTGGATCTGGTTCAAGTAGTCGGACGAATCTGGGGCCTGCTGGATTCCTTCTTGACTCTGGACCTATGTTGGCTGTTCGGGTTTGAGTTAGAGATTATCATTTACCATCCTGGACCTGCCCTCACTGTGAGCCGGCACTTGTGCTTGCGCTTCCACTCAGTCAAACACCGGCGCATCACGCACGGCATGAATGGTAAAGTTGGTGTGGTCCATGCATAGTTGGAACCCAAACAACAATGGCATGAAACACAAAGCCATGGTGCGTGAATCTTGCATGCTATATGCTATTTTCCAGTGATTTTTGGCCACGGCATAAAAATATCCGAAGCCTACCTCTGACACCTGCAGCAAAAATTCTTCAGGTTCCACGAACATCTTCCGGCACAAAGTGTTCGACATCCAGTCCATCATGTAAAAACGACATCGCTCGACCCGTCGACATCGCTCACTCAGCTCCTCATACTGTTGCCGCTGCATTCGAGCTGCTTCCTTTCCGCTCTTGGGGCCGGCGAAGCATACGCATCGTGGCCCAGGACAGCTTTCAACAGGATGTGGAGAAACAATCAATGACCAATGGCATTGCCCTGGCTTGCTGATGCAGAACCAGATCGTGCCAGAAAACCAGCAAACTGGAAGTGGACCCCACAAAGAGTTTTGTATTCGAGCACCTGTCCGCCTTCAGACTGGTCAAGTTCAGTGGGCTCAATGGCGATTGCATGCGATTACTGTACTGGGTCACAAAACAACCCCCCAAGGAACCCACAACGTACAAGAATGCTCACACTTCCAAATACGTCTTCCGTCTTCATATATGTTCCCTGAATCTTGGGCCAAACCTGGTAACAAGAAGCTACTAGTAACAAAGGGCATCGCTACTAGTAGCAAGGACGCTACTAGATCTAGTAGTAGCTCCTGTCATGACTAGTAACAAGAAGATACTAGTAGCGATGCCCTTTGTTACTATGACGAACTCGATCTCCGGATCCATGGTTTCATGGACTGGGCCTCCGCCTGCGCGAAGGGGTTCAAAGGATTCTCTGCGCCCATCGCTGCTGGCTGAGCCTTGGTGCGAGCATTCAAACATCTGATCTTGGGGAAGGTGTCTTGGTGGTTTGAATGGCCACACCATTGGAAGCGCAAACATGTGCATA